GACCGCTTCGTCTTCCCGAGTCTCCTGCATATTGTCTGGGTTTCAAGCGGACCATTCATATGGCAGACGACCGATCGTAGCCTTGAACGTACACGAGCACACCGTCCCTCTCTGCTTTCCTTTCCTTCTTCTGGTCGTTTGAAATATCGGTCCGGCTATTCGCTGGCTTCATGTCCTTTCTCGACGGACTTCAGTCTTCGGCTGCCGTACTTCGTCTTGTGCAATGATATTTGCAGCACCTGCCGAACCGCCCACATTCTTTTTTTTCGAAGCCATTTCCCATATTTTGAGTCATTCCATGATCCATCCCCCCAAGCGTCTCCCGTCACCCGTGTTGCATTGAATTTACTGGTATTAATGGAACAGCTATATGGTATTCCAAGAAATCTCATTATTACGGAGAGCAGATGGCACCATGGACTGTCGAGGGCGCTCTCTGGGAGTGGATCTTGTACCCGCTGCCGCTCTGTTCCCGCAGGGGTGTGCCAACAACACTTCTAATCACAGCTGCTGAGCCCACCACAGTTATTATCCCCGTGGCGACATTAAACCTGTCGAATATTTTTTGATCATGGTCTGCGTGTCAGTTCATCTCAACCTTATAATCTTACATGAATAAAACAACCGTTAAATCCGCATAGCTGATCATAATTTACGTGTCCTGTTACCAGCCAACATGGAGTAAAACAGCCTCTTCGCCTTGCTGGAGCTACGATCCACTCGCCCACGGTATTTCGAGAGAAGTAATCATTCCCATGTATTCAATGCAGGTCACGACGTTCTTGTAATGTAATACCCCTTATGGTGGAGCCATCCCAATGCCCTTGTCCAACGTCCCGTATACAAGGTGCCAGATAACGCCCCTGACCCCGGCCCACGACGTTCCCCCAAGACCCCATTTACAGTCCGTAGAAGTGACACCCGGATTACGGTGCCAACCCCCTTTGGATTTTGAAGCATAAAGCTCTGCAATGCTTGGCTTTGTATCTCACATTACGGTGTGTTTTTTTAGTCGTGGTATTGTAAAACGGATGGCTATCCTAGCACACACCATGTCCCAAAGAATAGAAATGCCACATCCGCCGTCGGCTGTCCCGTATTTTATCACCCGCCCGTCACCTTCCAACGCACCTACATATGCCCCTTGCACGCCTCCCTCATCGCCCGGAAATCCCGTCTTTCTTAACATCAATGTTGATCTTTTCTGTTTTCGAGAACTATTCCGCGGTGGAAGAATGCGCTTAAAATAGAGATCACGGTCACAAATTAAAGAAGAAACAGAAGAAGCATCACAAGAACTAAGTCGAGATTAGGCTGTGGCAAACGTATATTTTTATAGAATTCAGATGCATCATTTGAAACAACACTTTGGGTCATTTATTGTGCTATTTCCATGTATCAGACCCGGGCGTTCTGCCTTTACAGACGAGACCAGAAAACAGACGGGTGACGTAGGGCTCATGCACACCGCGGCGGTTGACACAGAATAGGCACGGCCGAAGCAGTTAATTGCAAGATAGAGGCAACTTGTTTACTCGAGAGGATTTTGCGTAAAGTCAAGTTGACAAAACGATTCTTTTGCTTCTGTGGACAGACAACGCAATACCGTGCCAACAATGCAAATAACAAAGTTATCTGCGACGCCCACTTACGTCACGGGGTAGATTTGACTGATTTATCTTGGTCCTCGAAGGCCATTTTGGGGCGTCGTCTGGCTGTGCTTTTCAGTTCACGGATTAGTATCCCTTAGTTGTATTAGTTTGCTATGCTCACTTTGTTAAATAATTTGGCCGCCGCGGAGGATTGAGAGGCAAAGATGTACTGATAAAGCGATCCAGTAATCGAACCTATTTTGCCACGACTCTTTATTGTATTCGCCTTCATAATGCAGTGAATAAATTAAGGAAATAAGAATATCAACTTGCCTGTCAGTATCCATTCTCAGCCTCCATGGAAGTTAGCATTTTCTTGATAAAGAGACATCGATATTGTACAGTTATATATGTTCGCGTCTCTGCACAGTGTCGTATCGCTCCAAAGTAAACCTTAAATTGGACAGATTTAGCTGCCGTGTTGTCCTACGTTGACTTGTCACCTGTCTTCGGGCTAGTAGTAAGCGTTATATGTTATTTGGGGTTGGCCACTTGCTTCTGTTTGGGGCGTGGTGCAGGAGAACAATAGATGGTTCTGCGATACTCCCCATGTACATCATCCTCTCTCTTTCGGATCAGTCGCACTTCTCGTCCGCGTCAAAGCCTGTCATGTAGGTTTTACACGCCATACGAGCGTGTAGCGGTGTGAATAAAGGAGGCAAATCATCATTTATTTTGGGCTTTCCTGGGCCATATGCTGTCACCTTGGCCGGGGCCATCGTTTGTCATTATATAAAAAAATCTCCTGTGGCTGGACGACTTTGACCTAAGAAGGACACCGTAGCCGGACCAGGACATGTTGAACAGAGTATACATACGGACGGGACCATCCCAAGGCTTCCGGATGCTCTCATATTATTCTTGCTTTTCCGATCCAGAAATAAACAGCTACCTCTGCCCACAATGAGATCATAAACATCTCAGCAGCTCGTCTTGCATTCCCAATTATCCTACTGTCCTTACCGCGCTGTGATTCAATAATACTCTGCCTTTGACACACTTAACGTCCACATGGTTCCTTTCCTGAGACCTATTGCGGGTTTAATACGGCGATTCTGGCCCATTCTGGTGAGGTGCGAGCCGCATTCTGGAAGCTGTCTCATCCACTGGTGGAGTTGTTGTCGTCTCATCTCGGGTTTGCTTTCAGCGCCCTCGGCGAGACGTGCGAAGAGAAGAAAATGATAGGTAGCTTTGGGAAGGAGCTGCTCTGGTTATATTCGACATTGCTCTGTCATATGATTGCATTGCATCGAGCATATGGTTGACGTTCATAATAATACTGCCATACTTCTCTGCAGACAGTGATGGCGATAATGTATTTAAAAATTGTTCGTCCATGGAATATCGGCCGTGTAATCGTCTCGTGAATGTCTGTTATGACCTGTATTTCTGGCATTTAGAAAAAGAAATAACCAGACGTTAAGTATAATGGAACGTTTGATTTTGGTCCTTTTTATTCTTAGTTATGCACAACATGCAATCCTGGGGAAACGACAAAAATCAATGACGACGGAAATTGACCGAGCAAAAAGTCAAGTAAAGAGTGACTTGACTGCAACAATTTGGTTGCTGCTTGAACATACTTGACCAGAACATGCAAGTGGGCTGCTGAAGAAATGGGGGATGTCAAAGAGCACAGAACAGGTTGACATGCAGGCCAATCAACACGCAGGAATACCAGGATGTTGCCCGATGCGCACCCCTATTGCAATTGTTTACACTCGTCTATTATTTGGGCTTAACGCGAGATGACAAAGTCGGGGTTGTTGTTAGCTGACTAAACAGGTGCCACGCGGTGGTAACGACTCAACGCCCACCAGCCATGTCTTCTCTCAACTTATTCAAAATGCGATATCTGTCAAACGACCACGCCAGATCCCTTGCCTCACTGTTCCCCTCCCACGGTTCGAGCGACAATGAAACGGGACTAGTCACCACAATGGTCGAGTGACCTGGCCGGAAACTTGTGAGAGGAGGCAAGCAAAACAAGTCGAAAAAACTGTCGAAGAGAGCCGATCCATTAGGTGCCAGACGAGCTCTCCTCCATCAATATCGTACACATGAGCCCATGTGCTGCCGCCGGCGCTCCTAGTTCGACTACTGGGCGTCGCAGGACGACGCGCGTGGCGAAATGATTGGCTTGCGAAGCGGCAAGGCTAACGAGAGGGAGCACGAGGCTTCGGCGAGCCACGCGGGCAAAAAGAGAGAAGGCGGTCTTGTTGTGTGTCTTACAAATTGGTTTTATGGCATGTTCAGCAAAGGGACAAAAATCGGTGGCAACAAAGAGGCCTTCGGAAGGGGGCTGCGAAACGAGTAGAGGAACTGGAGACACGAGACACGAGAGAGGACAGTTTACGATCTATTACGAAGTACACAGCGCATTGGTCCTCCACTCCGCGTCTTCCCTTTGCCGGGATTTGCGGAGGACCGTTATCTTCTTCCTTGTTCTCTTTCCAGTGGATATGAATCTCAAAAGTTCCTGTCGTCGTTAGATCTTTTCTGTCCTTACCGCCCTTACAAGAGCTTCCCTAATCTGTCTTCATCCATCGAAAAGACGCAGTCGGTCGCGACGATCAAGTTGGCGCTTATCGGCTTATCGTACAGGCCATTGGTAGTGCTTTTAGGCGATCATAGTGGACCAGACGAGGGGCGAGGGAGTGGCACGAACTTGACCAGGCGACTGTCGCTTCCTGCCATCGCCATCTCTCAGCTGTCTGGCAGGTTGCATTGCTCTGTCCTCTCTGCTCCACACTGTCCGAACCCCGATTTTGGTCGCCCTTGCCGCTTTTAGTGTCTATCTCGCCTGCATTCCTCTCCTGAAGAGGCCCATTTCCAGCGGCCGTCAATCAATCGCGAAACGCCGCCAGGCGAGATTAGCGGCGGCTTTTGCTGAGCTTTCGCGGCATCCACACCTTCTTGTCTTTTTATATCTTGCCTTCTTGTTTGTTTTTTCACGCACATTTCATCGCAAGAATCCCCGGCTTGACTTTCGTCTTTTGGTCCTTCTCATATTCCGATCGATTCGCCCTGTTGCTGTGAGCCACTCCTCCCACTCCTCGCCGGCCGACGTGCCGTCTTTTGACTCACCTGCGCGACTTGTCGTCCAGTTATGATCTGTGACCTGTCTAACTCGCCCCTCCTCCAGCGACACCGCTCCAGCGCCCCGAAAAAACGGGAGTCCGCCAGTTCTCGATTTCGCCACGACAGGCCCGTATCGACGTGGCTGCACTTCATTGCGATCTAACTTCATTTCCTTGTTCTTCCATATTGTCTCCTACTTCATCTCCATCCAATAGCTCTGTCCCTCGCATTATCTACTTCTAGTCCCGCTGTTGCTCGTCTGCCATCATGGCTGAGCTGGCCGCCACCCCCCAAGTCGAAGAGCAGTCCGACGGCTCCAAGCTGCGGACGTTCTTGTCCATCTTAAAGAAGTGAGTCTCGTTGTGGTGCTGCTGCGCCCGCTTGCTGTTGTGCACCTGACCCGACCTAACGGATGTCTCTTCAGGTTCATTGGCGTTTCGGACCTAGCTGCCGTGCGCTTCTCGTTGCCATCACAGCTGCTCGAACCGACGCCCAACCTTGAATACTGGAACTACCTCGACGCTCCCAACTCGTTTATTGCCATTGGCACCTCCGACGAACCCCTCGACCGCATGCTCGAGGTGCTGCGCTTCTGGTTTACCAAGGATCTCAAATATGCCAAGGGCCGGCCATGCAAGCCCTACAACTCGTGCCTGGGCGAGTTCTTCCGCTGCAACTGGGATGCCGAAGACAATGCCCCGCGCATTGTTCACCAAGAATTGCTCGGCGTCGCTGACGGTGCTGCCAAGACAAACGGCACTGCAGCGTCGAGTTCGGCGTCGAGCGTAAAGTCCAACATGTCCCGCGGCAGCTCCAAGAGCGCCGCCGCCGCCGCCGGCACCCGCACCCCTAACCTCTCTGTGCCCCAGAGCGGCTCCAACCCCCGGAATGCCAAGGTCCGGGTGTCATATCTCACCGAGCAGACGTCACACCACCCGCCGGTCAGCGCCTTCTACATTAGCTGCCCGGAGCGCGGCCTGCATGCACGCGGGTTCGACCAGATCACGGCCAAATTTACCGGAACCAGCATCAAGGTCATGCCGGGCGAGCACAACCTGGGCATTTTCATCACGCTGGAGAAGCGCGACAACGAGACGTACCAGCTCACCCACCCGGCGGCCCACCTGGGCGGTCTTTTGCGCGGCGCGCTGAGCGTCAGCGTCGGCGACATGGCCTACATCACCTGCCCGGAAACGAAGCTCAAGGCCATCTTGCACTACTACGATGAGGGTTGGCTAAGCCGGTCGACGAACATGGTGGATGGTGTGATCTTTCGCTACGACCCCAAGAACGACGACAAGATGCGGATCCGTGACGTGCCAGACGAGGACGTCCTCGTGCGGTTAAACGGGCCGTGGAAGGAGAAGATTACCTTTACAATGGGCCCTAAACCATTTGTATGTTTTGCCCAGATCACCGTCCTGTTGTCTTTTCTTTTCAGTTTTTTTTTTTTTTTTGTCCGCGGGGGGGTTGAGTTGGGCTGTCCCATGTAAGCTCTTCATATTCGAGGCTAACATTATCAGAACACACAACCTGCCGAGGCCCAAACAACTATTATCGATATCGCCCCCCTTACCGTGGCGCAGAAAGTGATTCCGCCAGATGACCAGCAGCTCAAGAACGAGTCGCTGCAGCTGTGGGGAGAGGTCACCAAGGCCATCCTCGCCAAACAATTTTCCAAGGCGACGAGCATCAAACAGGAGCTTGAGGAGAGCCAGCGTGAAAAGGCGCGCGAGCGCGAACGCACCGGCATCGCCTGGAACCCCGTCTTCTTCACGCAGGTGACTGGCAACGGCGGCAAGCCCGAGTTGTCTGAAAAGGGTCGCCAGGTGCTCGAACGCGCACAAAATGGCGACTGGAGCATGGTCGGCATCGTGGATGTTGATGCGGAAGCCAAGGAAGAGGAAGAGACAACTGGGACCGTGCCAGATGACGCGACTGAAGTGGTTGCTTGAGAGGATGCATTCATGGCTAGCGTGGCTGGCATTCATGTACAAGTAGAGTGTGCATATGCCTTTTACTTGAGGGGTCTCACTTTGTTGACCCCAGATTCATTAGATCTGAACGATACAGGAAGGCTATAGAGTCATGGGGCAGGCTGAACGAACCAGGATGCCGGGCACCCTTTTTTGCTGGGACCAAAGAACCTGATCGGCGTTTTTTTTTTTTTTTTTTGTGCAGTTGCATTTATTTCAGTCCATTTGGGTCACGTCAGTTTTCGTTTTCTCCCAGTTACATTCACCTTGTTCGTCCCGCTTAGCACAGGATCGACTCCTTCCGGACTCTTCGCATATAGCTTCAACAGTTGAAGGTCAAAGACACTGGACACTCATAGATCCGGCAACTTCCGTTCATTACCACAACTGTTATCACCAGATACGACCACCACATATAAACACGAATAATCGAGCACGCTCATAACAGTGTGGAAGCTAAATGCAGTCATCAACCAAGCCGCAGATGGCGTCAAAACCATCGTTCATGCGTATTTTTTTAGTTCTTCATGCTAGAGTGAGGATCATAAAATACATGTACATCAAAACCAAACCTCCTACTAAACAGTTTCCTGTTTTTCAGTATTTTTACAGAGGCAATTTTTTGCATTCATCACTATTCCCTTCAAGCGTCGACAAACGTCTTCAGGTTGTTTAGGAAACCCAGGTACTCGCGCTGTTCCTTGGCATCAAGGTAGTCCGGCACGAACACGGCCAGCGCCTGCGTAATACCGCGCTCCTCCAGGTAACGGTCAAGCAGCACCTGCAGGTCCTCATCCAGGCTACCAAAGGCAGGGCCGGGGTACACGCGCTGCGCCGAGTGGGCCGCGTCGGCTGTGGCCTCGTGGGCGTGGGCGGCATCCTTGTAATAGTACAGGTTATCCACAACCAGACCGCCGTCCTGTGCCGTCGCCTCGACACTCAAAGCACCCTGGCCGGGCTTCTCGACGACAATGGCTAGGCGGCACGGGACCGACGCAGAGTCGGTATCAATGTCCTCGCCGTCCTCGGCACCGGCCTCCTCGGCCTTGCGGGCGCTGTTGCCACCCTCAATGTCCTCGTCAGCCAACGCCGAGTCCTCGTCGTACATTTCGGGGTCATAGTTGGCCAGGTCGGCAACCGAAAACGTCACAGTGATCCTGAAAAGAGAATATTGTTAGTTGCAGTTCACAGTCGGGAGAGAAGACACCAATTTTCTGCCATTCTTCCGCCCCGTCTTCCCCCAAGAGCAAAAACGTACTTCTCGTTGTTGTAAGTACGGCGCAGAACAACCTCCTCGCGGCCCGGAACGTCCTCAATCTCAAATAGGCCGCTCTCAAGGAAATCCTTGACGCTGGTCGCCTCGGGCTCGTTCTCACGGATCTCCGTCTCAAACTGAATCTCACTGGACAGCTTGGCAGACAGCTCCTCGTCAATCTCGTTGTTAGCGGGGGCCCGGCGGGCAGCAACCGAAGAGAAGGCAGACACGCTGGTGCGGATCAGGGCTGCAGAGCGCAGGCCATTGGCAATCTGGAACGCCGACGGGTGGGCGGCGGTCGAGGTGAGCAGAGACGACCGGGAAACGGTCGGAGCGCGGCTGAGGCGGGCAGCGGCGCGGGGCGCCGCACGGGAAACCATGCGCAGAGACATCATTGTGCTTATGGAGTGTTTGCAGAAAGGTAACTGTCGAGTTCTGGTACAGAGCGGTGCATGCGACGAATGTGTGGCGGATATTGCGACGTACTTACAAGCTTCTGAAAATCCTCCAGAGCTTTGCCCAAATTTTCTAGCTGTGAGAGACGTTGCCCCACCACTGTTTTGACAGCCCAATGCCGTCAATGTATTGGTTAAAAATGGCCCCACGTGATTGTGTAATTTGCAGACTTGGCTTCGACAGTGAAATTAGACGGAAATGGGCCAAAAAGTCTAAACTCACGATGCCTTTTCGACGTCGCCTTCTCTTTCACACTACAACCGTGAGCCATTTGACAAGTCGAGCCAAGTATCAGCAAAGGAATATAAAAGCCATGCCATGAAGATAAAAAAAAAACGAGATACACGACCAAGACCCAACTATCGGCGCGGAATATATTCCCTGTCCCTTCCCACAACCCTGGCTAAGGATAGGTCCTGCCTTTCCCTCTCGGTAATCCTTTTAGTGTCATGGCCTCTTTTTATTCTCCCAACGCGCCATATCTATTTGTAGCTTCTTGCCCAAGTCCACAACACCGCTTTTATGTCTTCCCACTTCGTATTGCGTGACCTGTCTGCTGGCGTACGTACAGGCCAGGCGTGGCTTATCACCGCTCTTCACGATATGGCACTCGAGGGCCGGCCAGTGGCGCTGGCTCGTCTTGTCAAAAACTCGTCACTTGAGACTGATTCGACGCCTTGTTGATGACACTCGAGATATTCGCGACTCGAAGGACTCTTTGCAACCCCAACACTGATAGGGTGTCGGACTGCGCTGAATGCCTGGCCCGGTACCGCAGCTGCCAAAGACGCCGCTACGGCGTGCCGTTAGGCACAGGCTCTCCGAAATGAGCACTGTATCTTCATGGCTGCAAAGACAACAGATACGGACGTGGGAAACGTAGAGACACATGATTACTAAATATGTTAGCCAAATTAGGTTTTTTTTAAAAAAAAAATCCTATGCACGACATGAAAGGACGGCAAGAGAAAGAAAAGAAGATCAGTACATGCATACAGAGGAGGCGTAAGATCTATGTTGAGTTCTGGCTGGTGGAAACCTTCCAGCTTGTGAGTGCCAATGAGCTGGTTGACAAGCGTTCTGGTTCATGTCTACGCTTGTTAATCCATATAGCCACATCCACCGGCGGTCATGGGGAGACGGAGGGGGACAGGAGCGTTATATATGAGAATTGGTTGTTCTCACGAAAAGGCGCATGGTGGCCGAAAGTTGCGTGGTATCAGGGATCGTTAGAGACAAAAGTATCTGATTTGCGTCCGGGGGTCAGTAATCCTTCAGGGTGCTCTGATCTGGGGACATGTAAGTTGGCTTGTGCTGTAACATTTATTTCCTTTTTCTTTCAAAGGTACGAGAACCAAGTGAACATATACAAGCGAGTCTGCCTTAACATGTCAAGACATCGTCTTATTCCTGCTATCCGTCATGCGGCACATATGAAAGAGTTATGGTACCTGTCGGCCTAGAAAAAGGGTATTTTCCCTTAATAGGGTTAAAAAGAAGCTACCCACTCTGTCATTGCCATGATATGCCCCGTTCTCTAGATATACACGCCTTTGTATACATGCTCGTGCATCTGGAAAGAACAAGTATAGATAAGAAGGGAAAATTGCGCCACGCGGCGGAATCTGTCTGCATCTGCACTTTAATTGATGCACAACTTAGATTTCAGCGCAGTGCACAGCGTGACAAAAGAAGGCAGTAGGGAAACGCAGCAAAGGGCATGCAGGGCGCGAGGAAAAGCCGTGGAAGGACATGGGCTAGAGCTGGGACAAACCGTTTTCTAGGAGTGTCTGAGGAAACATACGAGAAGGTCTCCGCAGGTGAGGAGACATGGCCGCTTTTTTGAGACAAATGTAACGGCAGAAGTAGATACTCCGTATATCAAGAAAAACAATACAAGAAATGGTGAACAGCACAACGCATCTGCAACTTTATTTTCATGAGGAATAGACTGAGATTCTACTAGCTTGGGCTGCCCGTCTGGTCATTAAGCACAAATTGGGCAGGGCGAAAGATATCGGGTAGAGGTGCCTCAGTTCTGTTTCAGGTAGATATATCAAAGACAACGAGGCAGCTGCAAACCCTAGCATGGGAATATCGCCTCATCAATTTCGACCGCAGGGGTGGTCTCGTCGTCTTTCTTGTCTTGGGGTAACCTTTCACATTTCGACGTGCGACGGCTAGCTGCTGCCCTTTTCGCCATGGCACCATGCTGATTTTGTGCGTCGAGGGGAAGCCTTACCAAGGCATTTAGGAAATATAGTGGTACGGAAAGAGATGTTGGCCTGAGGGACGTTAGTTTACACAGGCTCAAGGAGGCTGGAACAGGGTGGTTTCGACCGTAGACGCTGGGCTTCGGTGCCTCAACGACTCCTGGTGTAACCTGTGTGCCTCTACAAAATATTTCGCTTGACTCGCTCCGAAGCATCGCATGAAAGAGGTCATGACACGAGGTGGGAAAAGAAATCAACTCAACAAACAAAAGCAACAGCATCGCGACGGATACAAGCCTTCCACTAGATAAGATACTTATACATATAGAGGGCTCATTTCTAGGTTGGGCGATCTTCGAGATGACGCTCCGGAGACTTGATGGCAGGGCATATCTCAACAGACCTGACACATTCAAAATTTCGGGGCTGCATATGCATATGCGCGGAGAGCGAAAGAGCGAATAGAGGAGTAGCAGAAAATAATCAACACAGCAGTTCTCGCGGCTGCCGCTCGCCACTTTCTGGTGGAGAGAGAAGATCCTTAGGACAGGGGGTACGGTGTGGCTGCGCGTATCCGTAAAAGCGAAAGGCCACGACGGACGGAAGGTATGCAGAGAAGAGTTGCCCCGTTTGTTCCCGAAGAATAGAAGTTGCCGACACCCGTCGCCAAGTCGCATAACGCGCAAACAGCAACCATAGTACACCCGTCTCCGCGGGAGCGTCAGGGCAAAAACTCCGTATCTCGGTTCCCAACAGCCCCAATTTGTCCTCCAATGCGCGACGAGAAACATCCATTTAAAGTGAGCCAACGTAAAGTAACGTCGGGTCGCCGGACACTCGGACGGCCGGTAATCGACGCGGAACGAAAATGCAGGCGAAGCACTCGCAGGAAGCTCGAAGAACACCAATGGCTAGCCTCAACGTCGCCAAAGTAGTAACGCTATGGCGGCTGTTTGTCACCAGCAGCGCCCATATTGTGCATCGTCTCCGGCTTCGTGCTCTGCCCCCGTATTCCGAGTGCTGCTTGCCGCGCACATCGTCCGCCAGGCGGTGTACGTGCCACTGTTGCACACTTGCTGGTGTTGCAAGGACAGGCAAAGGATTCTTCGTCCAAGTCTCTAGTCCTTGTTCGGGGGGAAGGTTGCCGGCCGTACAGCACCCGCTTCGTTGATGCGCACCCAGGAAAGACTGTTCAACTGCAACCACGAACCCTCCCACCGCTCCAGAGCCGAAACATTGTCTTTCGATGTGAGGTCGGGAGCCACTGCTCCAGGTTAGCCATTTGGGACTTTTGAAAACACGCAGCCGTTGAAACCTACAAAATCCATTCTGAAACTCCTTTTCCAGAGCAATCATCTTGACCTTGAGCGCATCCTCACGCGTACTAGCTGGCCGCCCCGGTCGACGAGTCCGCTTCAGCGCGTCCATCTCCTCGTCGTACTGGTGCACAAAACTGAATTGTTAGCACCGCACATTCTAATCAGAGAACGGGTGTAATACCCAGACAAGGGCCTAATTCAGGCGTACCTCTTCACAGCAGCTATGAATTGGTCGGCGTCAAAGACATCGATGCCCGTTTCGCGAACGGAATCTTGGAAAAACCCTGCACGATCGACTGCTGCGTGTCAGCCGTAGCCCAAAGCAATAACGCTGCAGGCAGGAAACCAGCCATTACATGCTCATACCAAATGACTGTTCGTGCATCTTTCTGCTCGTCGCGAGCTTCCCAAGGCGGCCATCGCGGGCCAGGGCTTTGCGCAAGCGTCGGGAGTCCCGCGACCCTTCATGGACCGTCCCCAAAGGACCCTTCTTCTTCACAATCTGCTTGCGCGTCTTGTCTAGTGTTCGCTGCATCGTGGCCTGCGTAGTGATGCCGTGTCTTTTTGAGAGGTATTGCGTCCGAGTTTTGCGTGTTGGAGTTTGGTGATGTAGGGTGGATTCTTCACATTTCAGCGTTGGCTAGCCTTTTTCTTCTTTCTTTCTTTCTTTTCTTTTCTTTTTTTTTTTTTTTTTTTTTTTTTTTTTTTTTGGTTGCACCTTCTAGAACAACACTTAAATCGGATTCGGACCTAGCGGGGGAGGGGCGACCCACTACTTTCCAGTTGCCCTGGAAATACCGGGCCGCTTGACGCTATTTCCTATTTGGCAGTAATTCGTAAGGCCAGGCCTTTTACGCGCTGGGGCGAGACGCGCTTTCTTCGTCGTGTAGAATAGGCTCTTCCCTTGTCTGTGGTGTGGCGCGTACGCCGGCGTGGGACACTCAACACGCGACCTGCCATGACCTGTCCAGGTACGGCAACCACCTCCAGTCGACGCGGAGCAGCTCCTTCCTGTCTTGCCGCGTCAAAGTTCCAAAGAACAGCGACTTTCTCTCCTACCTCACCAGCCCTGAACTGAAGAGATACTTCTAGCACTTCGTATCTCTTTTTTTCTTCTGCCCCTTTACACTTCAACACATTCTCTTTCTGTCTCAGCGCGTTATATTCTCCACGTTGCTTCAGCCGTATATTACCTCGCGTTCCGACTCGCGTCGGTCTGTAATTCTCGCCTCTTTGGTCGTCTTGCATGGACCGCGCGAGCAGTTTCTTGACAGCCGCCATCTCACACGCCCTGAAAAGTCTTCGCATTTGAACAAGGTCTTCTCACGTCTGTCATACGAACCGATTACTTTGGCGTTCGTCACAGCATCGTCGTTACGACGTCGCCTAGACTTGCACATAAACTTCAGCTTTACCGCCTCGACGACATATCACCTACCCGAACCGCATGGCCGACGCCTGTGCCCATCCTTGAGCCAAAGTCCCTCCGCTGCCGGGCGCTGCCTCCTTCGCGGCCTCAGGATGGGTATCTCCGGTATGATTTCCTGAACCTTGGCCGTATTTGTTGGTCGAGACGGAATTGCCGTGCTGACATGAAGTTTAGGATTGCTTCCCCTTCTCAAGTCCATCCAGCGGCCCATAGAGCTGAAGAAATATACCGGTGAGACTTTCGCTGTCGACGCCTATGGGTGGCTGCACCGCGGTGCTATTAGCTGTGCCTTGGAACTAGCTCAAGGTCGACCAACAAGAAAATATGTCGACAGTGTTTTGCACCGCGTCCGTATGGTCCAGCACTTTGGTGTTACGCCATATCTCGTCTTTGATGGCGATTTTCTTCCAAGCAAAGCTTCTACCGAAGCGTCGCGTGCGAAACGCCGAGAGGAAAGCCGCAAGGCTGGCCAGGAGCTCATGAATGCCGGCAACCCAAAGCAGGCATTTGTTGAATTCCAAAAAGCAATCGACATAACCCCCGAAATGGCATGCCATTTGATCGAGGAACTCAAGAAGCTCGGTCTTCCCTACATCGTTGCTCCCTACGAAGCTGATGCCCAAATGGTCTATCTTGAACGCGAGGGTCTCGTCAACGGCATTATTTCCGAAGACTCCGATCTTTTGGTGTTTGGAGCCAAACGCCTTTTGACAAAGCTAGATACGCACGGCCGCTGCATCGAAATCAACCGTCGAGAGTTCTGTGCCTGCAGAGAGGTTTCGCTCACAGATTTTTCTGACACAGACTTTCGACGCATGGCCATTCTCAGTGGCTGTGACTACCTTGAAGGAATTGGCAACATCGGCCTCAAAACCGCGTACCGGATGATACGAAAACACAAAACAATCGAAAAGGTTGTCCGCATGCTGCAGTTTGATGGCAAATTCAAAGTTTCTGAAAACTACATGGCCGCGTTCCGCCAAGCAGAGCTGACATTTCTTCACCAACGGGTGTTTTGTCCTGTCAAGCAAGAACTTGTTCTTCTCTCAGAGCCGACAAATGGCCTTGATGTCGAGGAAATGTGCTTCATTGGTCGAAAAATCGACAATGATATCGCCCGAGGTGTTGCTATTGGCAGCCTAAACCCTATGACAAAAGAGCCCATCATTTTGCCCTTGTCTCCGGGCAAAAAACGACGGGCAAGCAGCGTCACAAGCAGTGTTACGGGTCCAAGAAGCTCGCCTTCTATTTCAGCCTTTGCCAACACTGGAAACCAGCAGCCGTTCGGCAAACCAATCAACGAATACTTTGCCAAACGCCGCGAGTCCGCACAGCGGATACCCCTAGGTGCAATGGACCCGAATTGTTTCTCTGTTGACAAACAAGAGGTCGCAGCCTTGACGCAGAATGGGCTGACACCCCGTGTGTTTCCTCTGCCACGGCCGTACGTGGATGGTGGCCACACATCACGAAATGGATCAGCAATTGGAGAAAGCTCACGACTGCGGCGGCGACAAACCGAATCCTTATCTAGTCTTTTACAGCTTGGTGCTTCTCCTTCTAATCCCGCCACCAGTTCCAACCGAAGAACGACAACTTCGATGCTACCTCCGCATTCGCAGTCCGACTCATTTCATCAGGATGCCCGGTCTCGGAGCGACACTATGTCTTCAGCAAGGCCACAGAAGAAGGCAAAGCTCTATTTTGATGAAAGTAAGGCACCCGTCCTGTCATCCAAAGGCTTTGAGCGCAGCAAGTATTTCCCGGTGACCTTTGCTGCCGTTGCTGCTTCCCCATCCACAAAGAAGCCAACTCGGCTTACAGATTCAAATTTCATGTCAGACGATTCAGTCGAAGAAGCCATGTTAAGTCTACCGGACATCGTTGATTGGGATGTTCACATGTCCAACAAATCCGCAAAGTCGACAGTGTCAGTTTTTGAGGACGCACGACCGACGGACGATTGTACTATTGTTCCTGACAGCGACGGTGTTGAGGTCCCGGCCAGCCCAGCCGACTTTAATAGCCAGCAAACGGAGGATGTGGTCACATCGCAAGAAGATACCCCAATCACTCGTGTATCACTTGACCGGTTTTCGTACACCGGAGCGTTAAAATTCGCGCACGGGCTACCAACTCCCGACACAAGCTTTATAGAAAGCCACGAGAAACCAACAACGAAGCCGAGTATCCTCACTCCGCCCTCGTCCATCTCACAGCGACAGGCCAACCAACATCAGACCAACGCGCCGAGAATGAGCCTGGGCGAGCTTGTCGAGAACACATCGGTAACCCGCTCAGAGCGGCCACGAAGCTCCACCAAACGAATTCGACGGGGTATGGAGGCTTCGATACCTATCAACCCATCGTTTGTACCCCTTCCACCTGCCGATCTGGACGAAGTCGCGGCGCTGAACCGTCCTCAAGGCAGCGAAGACCAAATTGTCCCCGATAGTGACGGAGATGACGATGACGACAAGGTCGCCGAACAGAGAGGTCAGCGGGCGCCGGGCGGTCGCTTGGACCTTTCCCGATTTTTGTGTGCATAGATGATATCCAGCGCTATTTCGCATTCTTTTGTTCTATTAGCTACTCGAACGGTGTGAAGCCTGTATAAATCCCTCAAGCGACGCCGGCTGCACGGCTATTTGCACGGCGTCGGAGTTTATCTTACTTTTGTTTCTCGCTTATTATTGATCTTGGATGCGGTTTGTGATAGAATTGTATCCGAGTCGTTATCTCTAAATTAATTGTTATGAAACGGGCTTGGAGAATAAGAAGCCTCGTATATAAAGCTGTGAATTAAGTTTCGTCACCAATTGTTTTGTTTGTTTGGCTTGCATACTTTTTGGTCAACGATAGTAGGTATTGAAGCACCATGATATTGTGGCGGGTAACAAGTGAAAACAGAACATGAGCGTATCGCCAATAAAAAGTCTCTTGCTATCCCAATCGAGTTATCGTAAAGACGTAGAGTCGATACTCAACAGGGTATGGTAAATGCAGTCAATTTCTGTTTATCACTGTTTATAATGCAAACACTGGACAACCTATAACTGAACGACGAAAATCTATCTTGAGTTCGATTTGAAACAGGGTAGAATCAAAATACCGTCAAAATGAGAGTCAATAATTGGGGGCAGAGAACACACAAGACCTGTAAAAGAGACAACAAAAAATAGCACGCTATGAATGGAAGATGGATAGACCAAGAAGAAAAGGGAGACGCCAGAAAACCCAGCAGACAGAGAAACAAGAGGGAAAACAAAGGAAGAATAATCAGAGAAAATAAAACGATAAATAAATCGATGTGGAGATCAACGTATGGCCTAGGAACTCACGTGCTCTACTGCACATAATGACTGCATTAAATCCCCCTTCACGAAACACCGCTGTCGTTGTCGTTGGATTCTCCCATCTGTACTTTTCTGTTTCCGGTTCCTGAAACGCTTTTGGATATCGGCTCAGACGAATGCTCGTCTCCCTCGACATGCGTAATCTGGGAAGGGTATGGGCCACTCCGAGTTATATTCTGTATGCCCATATGCACAGTAGCAATGCCTCTGGAATCCCAGGCACCAGTTGCTGAGACGTGTTCTGGCCCTTGGTCAGACTGCGACCGAGACATCACCACGCTGTCCGGTTTTCTCGAGCCTGCACCTCCGACGCTACCGCTGCTACTACCGCTCCTTGTGTCGCTGTTATTTGCAAGAGCACCTGTGCCATAAGCCGTGGGAACAGGTCGGAAAGCAGACGGTTCCCCAACCTCCAACCACACCGTAAATGGGCCGTGCAGGTAAGGTGGCCTCTCGTGGTGATGCTCTTGATGCCTTTCCTCCCACTGCCGATAGCTAGTGTTGACATCTGCGAAAGGATTCGTCGTTTGTGGAGACGGTTCTGTTTGTACAAGAGACGATTGGCTATTCCTTCGCAGAGAAGGTATTTGCCGTGCACCCGCTGTCATAGATCGACCGTCCACAGACTGAGGTAAGCTGCGATCATGTGGAAGGTACGCTCCCGCTTGGTTGGGCGGCGGTGCCGTATTGGCGGGGATGGACGAGAGCCGAGTTTGGTAGTGAGCGTGGCCGTACGCAGATGGCTGAGACTGAGCGCTTGTGTTGCGAGACATTGGCTGCGAAGTATATCCATCAACATTCTGGTTTGGTCGTAAAAAATTGCGTTGAATCTGCTGAGATTCAAGTGCGGTTTGTTCCTGAGACGGCCCCGTGGGTTGTTGCAAATACTGAGAAGACTGCCGGGAGTGGCTCGGGTGTAGCGGTGCCTGGTAGGAAGCCGCTGTTCGGTCTTGGGCGGCAATCCCAATACTCAACTCAGACGAACTTATTCGCTGGTTGCCAGGGTGGTAGACATCGCTGCCCCATTGATGGATGGAATCTGGTAGGGTACTTTGAGCAATACTATCTGTGTTCTCGACATTGCCATCATTCACGATACTTTCCTCCTGATGCGTTGTAATCGAATTGGAGAGATATTGGGATGAGGAGTGATACGGAGGGGGCATGAACGGGCCATAGCCCTGGTTAGGGGTTGATCTGGCTGTCCGAGAGCCCCTCAAAAATGTCCCAGGCTGCGAGCGGAGCAGGCTATCAATGCTGCTTGCAAGTGCATCCTCCGTATCCGGCGCGGCAGATGCAATTTCGGGATCAGATGGGGCGATATTCTCAGTTTTCTGTTCTTCTGAAGCAACAAAGGAACTCGCTGAAGCAGAACCAAATGACAAAAGCTCCTTGAGACCCCTGAGACGCTTCAGTGAGTTCCTGAAACTTGATGGTGGGGACTGTGAGGTCCTTTTTGGAGAGTTGAAAGACATCGCGACGACATCTGACGGTACGGTTCCGTGCCCATCCTCTACGCCGTGGCGGGCGGACTCGTGTCCCTTTGTGTTTTCATAAAGGGTTATAAGGGGTCGGACGCCCAATGTCCCTGTGCTCTGTGCTCGGTTCTTGCTTTGATTCTGGTCGGTATCCCTTTTGGTGCCGTCTTCTAGTATCGTCGGTTCTAGTCTCGGGCGTGGAGGCGATGCTGAGTTGGCCCAAGACCGAAATTTACTGAGAGAGTGCTTTGCCACGCCGCCGGTCACCGAGGAGCCGTGTTCGGGAAGCTCTGCTTTGAAGCTATCGCTTTCAGGAATGAACAAGGATCCTTCCGCAAACTCGCGGCTCACGCTGCTTCGAGGGTCGCTGATGTTTTTATCTCTCCACGCCCCTGCTCGATCTCGGTATCGGTGCTCGTAGTTCCGTTGAACAACGCGGTGATTAAGTACGGCAGGATCAGAGTAAAGCATCCCAAATCCTGCCGACGGAGAGTCGTAATCCTTTGCCTCTGGCCTGATAGGCGAAATATCCGGAAGCTTCGGCGTTGGCACTTCGGTTACAGCCTGGTCAGTTCCATTGTCGTCCTCCGGAGATGGTGGGGCAGGAATTGTATTCTGGGCCGTCGGGTATGGTACATGCCAGCCATATGGATCACCACCCCCTGGGACGAAGGGAGAGAAGATAAGGTCTGGTGACTGGTACAGAGTTCCGCCGCTAGCATTGGCAATTGGAGGGTTGGTCCACACTTGGTGCACTGGAGCTTTCCCTTTCCCGTCGTTGGGATGTAGAATTGTGTCGCCGAATTGCATTTCTGCTTCGAGGTCGATTGGACTGTCGATATCCATGTTGATTGCGGGGTTGGTGTTAATGATGTGAACGCCAGCTCTTTCGTCATCAAATCCAGTACCCGTTCGCGAGGAGATTCCCGAGTTGTCAGTACTAGCTTGGCTGGATGAGTTGGCAGAACCGGCTACCGAGGAGTCTGAAAAGCTGTTTGCACGTTCGAAAACAGATGTGGTTGTTAGGCTCTCGTAACTTGATGGGCGCGTGCCCATCTCGTTGAAAATGTGAGCCTGCGTGACTTCCGAGAGCTTCATGATAGCTTCCTCGCAGGCACCGAGTCGAGAACGGATCTGTACCCCGGCACTGGCCAGGCCGGGAGGAAGTGGCGATTTCTTTTCTGAGTTGGCCAAGTGTTGTAACAACATCTCACCGTGTATTTTGAAGCAGCGGTAATCGTCCAATAGACCGGGTCTTCTACCATTAAGCCTATCCGCCTCATCAAAAGCATGGCAGAACACATCTGCCGAGCGCTCGAGCCAGAAGTCGGCATCTTTAGTAGCAGTAAGAACATCAACAAAGAAGCGCTGGACAACGGTGTGAATTCGGAGCAAGTCAACAGATTCGGACCTCCTTTCATGGCTCTGTTTGGAACTGGTTTGCGAACTCGTTGGCGAGACAGAATCCGCCTCGTAGCGATCAACAAGAGCAAAGGCAATTAAAGTACCCAAACTGTTGTTAAGAGATCTCTTTCTGTGTGACGCATCACGAGTCAACACCGGTGTCCTGCTATCCAGCGCATGGAGGCCTAAATTGAGTTACGTTAGTGCACTGTGTTGACGAGACAACGTGGGCAGGAAAGACAGGTACGCCAGGCGGCGAAACTCACCTAGATTGAGAAATCCAACCGGAACACGGCCGCCCAGAAAAGCCAAGATGTACATGAGATTCAAGGACGGGTATGCGCCGCGAGACTTGAGCTCGTCCCATACGTTGTAGTATGCGGGAAGGTCACTAGCCCATATTCGATTTTGGAGGGTTCTCAAGTATTTGGATAGAGGCTCACGGGTTGTTTTGATATGCCGGGCGGCAGCATGGACCATCAATGGCAGACACCCCATGCGTTTGACAATCTCGAGTGCCTGTGCACGTTCGCCTTCCCTCCAGGGCTTTTTCCGCTCCATTTCGGTCAAGAGCAAATCGCGCGCATCCTCCGGGCTGAGCATATCCAGCTTCATTATTTGTGGATTGTCAAACTCGTAACGCCCAGAGACATCGCTTTGGATGGACGTGTAGATGATGCTCGTGTTTTTAGCATCGGGAATGAATCGCTCTATTCCGGGCGTATTGAAAATGATGCCGTCAAACACGACAAGCCATTGATCGAAACTGCTAAACCAAGCCCGGACGATGTTGACGATATTGTGAGGATCACACAACTCCTTCTGAGAATCGCTAGAAGAGCTGGGTTTCTTCTCAAGGGTCTTTTCCACGATGTTTCGCAAAGCTTCGTTCTTTGCAATTGTCCAGAAAAATTGTTCCATTTCTGCGATGGACTTAGCACGAATCCAGTAAATGCCACCCGGGTAGTCGTCCCGGTGTTGGAAAACATATTGTCGCGCAAGGTGCGTCTTTCCACCACCTGGTAGGCTCTGGATGACAACTGCGGAAGTTCCCTCTGCCCTCTTTGCACTGTCGGTGAGCTTTCGGTGAAGCTCCTCAAGCTCTCTCTTGCGTCCAACGAAGTAAGAATTTGGACGGAACTTCTCCGGGTGCAGAAATAGCGGGTCCTGCTTGACAGTCGAGGTACCTGAGGTCGTTGATGAGACAGGGGGAGGAAGTAGTGGCATCGGTGAGGTAGCCGCAGCTGAAGCGAGTGGGATAGAGGTAATGGGGGACTCGACAAGTTCACCTGGGCTGAGTATAGTAGTAGAGTCAACCTTGGCCATCACTGCCCTCAGTGACAAGAGGTCGGGAATACCTTCGATCAAGTCTGTATCTGTGCAAGAGGGTGTAGCAATAGTTTTAGTATGTATGGTACTGAAATGTTCTAGTATGAAGACAAGTCAAATAGATATGGGGCAATTCGTGACTTACCGGCGTTTGATTTACTCCTTGCCCGTATGGTTGCCTGTCCTTGCGTTAGTGGATGCAAACGGGACTCATATCAAAACTCAAAGAAAAGTCATTAAGGGCTCGGGAAATAGATGTCTGGACGTACAGTCAAACGACGCTCTTCTATTTCACGACGCGCACGAGCCACACGGTCTTCATGTTCGACCGTCCATCGGATTTCGATGACTGGGGGGGCCTCTATGACCCATTCTTGGATAGACGTGACCATAGTTTGGTAGCCCGGGGCGTTTGCACCATCAAATTTGCATATATTTGAATGGTCGGCTTCAATCCCGTAGTATGTCACACCGGGCAGCTGAGGACTTGCCGAGTCGACATCTACAACAAATGCCCTGAATTGCTAGTCAGTCAACTGACGTTACAAGTAGAGATACGCAGGAGAATCTGTGCTGAAAGGGGACCTGGCATGACATGCTCACTTTGTTCCCTTCAGGTCGGTTTTGTGGTTCTCGTGAACCATTTGAATCTTGAAGCGTTGGTAAATGTCCAGAAAGTGATTGTTGATTTCCTGTAAACGTTCGTTGTTCCGCTTCAGCGACTTGATCAGGACGGGCTCGGTGTCAAAGAACTTCTTGGGTGCTGCAGAGCCCATTCCTTGTAGGACTCGACCCCAGAAAGCCAGCCCGGAGCCGGTGTGTGGTGTGCCAAGAAAGATGATGCCGTATGTCGAAACATATATAGACCGCGACGCCTCGTGGTCAGCATCACGGAGGTCATTGGAGTAAAGCAACGCACGCTTCACCAATATTCCGCCGAGACTGTGAGTAACCCAAATGAGCGGGTTGTTGCTTGTACCCCTATTCTGGCGAAAAGCGGTCAAATGGCTGACTAAAGTCATTGCATGCTGGTAAATAAAGTTGTCGCTCGGACTGCTCTCCGTGCCTCTGCCGTAGACATCGGCGTTGTAACCATAGACGAGAATATTCGCAGGGGATTTTTTTAATGTCTCTGGAAGAAGCTCTGCCGGCCAATAGAGGCCGTTCTTCGCGGTCCAAGTCCGCTTCGGCTGGCCATTTAGACCATGAACGAGAATGATGTCGACATGTGCGTCGGGGTGGGTGAAGACAGGCGTCACCTCGAAACGAGAGACATCAAGGTTGACTGAGCCCTGGGACGACGACCCGAGGTTGGTCGACTCCTGGAAGGGGAACAAATAGCCAGTGTCAGCTCATGCATTTAGAAGGATGGTTGCGTTGGAGGGAAGTGTCATGACGGGACGGACCGAATGCCGAGCAAGGCGGAAAGGTGGGGTGAATACCCTTGGGAAAAGTTGAAGTGCTTTGTATGAAGATAGGAATAGCTTACCATTTTTAGGGTGTCGATATGGAAGAAGAGCAAACACTATAGCTTTCTTGGCGCCACAGCGCGAGTATCAAGACGGGCTGTAGACTCGGGGTCGGCGAGGGTTAGACAAGTATGAGAAGACGACTTCGTGGGTGTGGGAAGCTAAAAGAAGAGTGGGAAAGGTTGAACGTCGAAGTGAAAAACAGAATGGAAATAAAAGGAAGGTGGACCTACACGGGCTCAGGGATGAATGACCAGGGCCTGCCTTTATATTACCTCGGTCTGTTGGACGCAAAGCAGTCGTAAACATAGGAGTAAGAGCCGCATCGAGGCCAGTCGTCAATAGAGGCGCAGAAAGGTTCCAGGGCGAATGGTGCTGGAACGGGCGCGCCAAAGACGAGCAGGGCTGCTTGCCTCAAGACGCAGACAGCGGACAAGCGTAGTACCTATGGGTGAAAAAGGGCGAACAGAGAGAAAGAGAAGCGGGAGAAGGGTAAGTGAGGGAAGTGGGTTTAGGGGACCGTGGAAGCAAAGGAACACGGGGCCAAAGCAAAGAGGCGGCGAAACACGACGAAAGGCGACAAGATGGCGAACTGTGCTGGTACTGAGGAGGTGTGTAAAGGGGGGTGCGTGGCGCAAGGCTGCGATCCGAGGCAAGCCACTGGTTGGGACTGCCTTAAATAGGCGCGTCTACAGAATGACGACTAGTTGTTGAAATGCGCCCGCCCAACGAGCTTCCTGTATCCAAGAAACCAGACGGCGAGAAGGGGAGAGGCGGCGTTGAAACGTCGCGGTGGAAGCTTATGCGGCCAGCTCTGGGCGTTTACCCGCATGTGCCTACCCGCATGTGCCTTCTTGCTGTGTCTCGATGGCGATGGTTTTGGTATTGGCGGCCTGTAGGGTTCTTGGACTAGCGAATAGTGAGCTGCCAGAAAATATGAGAGGTAGTTGGAGATGTTGCTATTTATGCGACAACAAATGAGAGGCTCAGATGACTTTGTTGTCTGTCGATTCAGGTCGTCTGACAGGGGAGGAAAAGCGGGTCAGTGGCCGTTCCGTATTGACTTTCTGATCTTGGTCGTAGAGATGGCAGGAGCGGAGGGGCTAAGGATAAGATACAAGCAGTTGCATGTCTGTTGCATGCCATTTGTAGCTCTGTAGGGGACGGTAATTACGTTAGGACCAGCAGGCTTCCATCGTTACCTGTTTACGGGTAGCAGGACGCTCGGTTCTGGCTTGCAGAAAACAAGGCGTAACGGGACTGTATGCCGCCCTGTTGCTGAATCTGCTCCGAAAGGGTGTTTGCCCATGGAACCAAACACATATCAACCCTAAACAACACAAAAGCAAAAGAGGCCGACTTTAACTGGGTTCACTCGGCCGTAAACAGCCTTGACTACTTCGTCGGGTACTCAATGTTGGAGCCTGACCATGACAACAGGCCACGGCTACGAGTCCGGGATACGATGACTAGGGGTGGCTAGGTTGGTTACAGAGAGCCTGGAAGGGGAGCGGCAAAGGAGGCCTGGTCGGCCCAACTGTCATGGTTTAATGTATGTATGGCAGCAGCTGAGCCTCCTGGTGGAGAGTGCGTGTGGCTGCACCTTTCCCACCCTCCCTTACAATCTGGCTGCCGGACACCAGCCCCGGCAGTCACCCTCCATTTCATGCCGCTGGTTAACCCCGGAAGCTGGGGTTTAGGGGCGGGCGCCATGGCAGGCTAGGGCCGGCTAGGCACAGACGGGATACTCTAACGGCTTTTCTTAAGCCCAGTCGGCACCAGTTGCCGACGAACAAACAAGCAATTTAAAAACAGACTCGGGTAGCACCGAAGATTCATACTCACAGGAACACCAGTAGGAAAAGGTTGAGCAGCGAATTATATGATCGGGACGCAAAGGCAGGCAAAAGGTGCCACTAACTGGACAGCCTTGTTAATTGGGCCAGGGCGGCGCCTGGGCAGCCAAGGAGCTGTGGGGTGGCCTCAACTGGCAAATAGAACTGCAAAGCGAGTGTATCAGATTGCGCAGCGTCTATGGATACAAACGAACGTTTTCGTTTGGGGCTACGATTCTCGCGCACAATCACTCCGCCTGCCCCTGCATATGCAGTTTTGAAATGCAAAGTAAATCCGCTCTCCGACTGTCACTGAGGACGATCCACATCGCTTGTTTAACTTTGTCGTGAACACTCGCGAGCTAGTCTGAATGCCGTCGTAAAGATGTCGTGTATGGATGTACTTTTTATAACACTCAGGGTAGCCTTGCTCACGGTTTAAAATTGCCTCGTGGTGACTTAACTTCATCGCATCATAATCGACGCTTCCGAGGAATCCGGGCATGTGGCCAGATTAGTAAAGCCGCAGCCACATCAGCAAATGCACCCCTGGCCTGCAGCAATACAGCATTTCACAACTGCGACATGTTCCGCTTCTTTGGGGGGTGGGTTGTAGGCAACGGTATGCGAATCTCAAAGTAAGCCGACGATTCGTTGGAGCCTGTGTATTCGTCTGCTGCGTTGAAGCGAATTGGCGAACGTAATTAGGGGACGAAAGGCTAACTTTCCATCTAAACCTACTGGGGTTCGCGATGATCTCGAGATACAATCCGTCTGCAGCCTGCAGAGATGCAAACGCGATTACGCCCGGTGAAACGGAAGGAAACGAAGTGGTCGGGGCACACTAACTGCATGATAAGCTCATCCTGCTCAGTAAATATATGTGAGTCTATGCGAAGCATATCATAAGATAAACATCTAAGTATTACCAGCGCCAACTTGTTCCCAAGGTCGTCCACTGCCCACTGACATCGCAACTATACCTCGACCGCAAGGCGTCCAAAGCCTGCTGTTATTCTGCAAGTAGGGCGTTATGGCACCACACGCTTGGATGTCGCACGTGCTCTGCCACGGAGACATGTGTTCACCAGACATCATCGTCGCATTTGCCGGATCTGTCTACCCACACCACAGACCAAGTCATTCAGCGGCCTCTAGACATGCCCGCACAGGGATGGAAACGTACACAAATGTACGCCCCCTGGTTCCATACGGCGTCACGTCTTCGGCGCAAGCATCACAACATATTCGCGCGCACTGTGTCCGAATTGAACCATGTCCTTGTCCTGCAACTCGACATACCGCTGCGTAGCCACCTCTTCGTGGTTCAACTTAGTTCCGTTGGCACTGGCCAGGTCCAGGAGGTATGGTTTCACACGTCCAATACGGTCGCCAAACTCGTTCCGCTTCTCCACAAAGCGAAACTGCAGAACCGCGTGCTGCTTGCTAATGCTCGGGTGCGCCGCAAGCAGGTCCACCACCGCGGAATCGCGTCCCGCTAGCCAGCAACTGCGTGTGCCGAGGTCGATCGTGTCAACGATAGCATCATCCTTGAACACGAAAAGTTTCCACTGGTCGCGTGGCGAAGGTTTCCGCGCCTCAGGAGGCTCGTGGTATTTGAGGGTGATGACGGAGCCGTCGTCCTGCGCCACTGCATTGGATGCGGCTGCCAACGTCCCCGTTGTGCCCCAGTTGGGTTGCTCCTTGGGAGGCTTGGGAATCTCGCCGCCTTCGGCCATAGCAAACGACGACGCCTGGTCAGGCAACGGCCCGCTCTGCTTGGCCGACTGCGTTGCCTTACGCTCCCTATTGGCCTCGCTGCCGCCGTTGTCTGCACTGTCGTCAAAATCATGCAGCTGCTGCCCCCACTGGTCGTCATCCTCATCCCGGCCATGCCTGCCGTGTCGCCTGTCGTGCGAGTGTCTCCTCTGTACCCGGTACTCTTTTTGCCCAGGGTCCGTTGGCTCGCGTTTCCGGTGGCTATGATTATGTGGCGAGTCGCGCCGCCTGTGTCGTTTCCGTCTACCAGGCGACCGTGATCTTGATCTTCGGCGGTCTCGTTCACTTCGGTGTCGTCTGTGCTGGTCGATGCGATCACCTTGATTGTCTTCGTCGTTTCCCCGGGTTCTTCGGTCGCGCCTATCGACTTCGTCCCTCGCCCCGCCCTTTGTATCACCCCAATACCCAACCTCTTTGTCTAGCCGATGTGACTCTCCATATTTGCGCCTGCTTCTGCCATCACTGCGACTGTCTTTCGTACGATCTCGTCGCTCGTTGTCGCCACGTATGTCCAAGTGCAACGATGGTTCACCGTGCTCCGAGCCGTCGGATCCCATAGTGTGGTGGTTTTTGTTATCTTTTGAGAGGGGGGGCTTTTGATTGATAGGACCTGCAAGTAGATACCTGTACAGGAGCGCTTTTGTATGGTTCAGGGGATACTATCGTTGGAGAGTAAAACTCCAAAGTAGTTCGCGACGCCTAAAAAAAGCTACAGCATCAACGGCAGAGCTATAAAGTGGAACCCATCAAATCTTCCCGCCAGTTAGTGGTCAGCCGCTTACGGTGCGACGGTGAATTGGGAGTTTTCGTCCCCTTGTAAGCAAATCTTTCGTGGCGCCATTGGATAGCGCGCTAGTCTGTTATGCCACTGAACGTTGACGATGCAAAGGTTGGTGGTTCAAGCCCACCCGAGGGAGAAAATGATGTCACATCTCTTCTCGTATGAAATATATAAGATTCGCCCTTATTTTCTCCTTTATTTAATTTTCGTATGTATTTACGTGTCCGCACAACTGTCCTTTTGGAATGGACCGCAATCCTCGTGGTATCTGTTTGAGAATTCACGACCAAGTAGGTACAATTTACGTGTGGATCACATACGTTAAGGCCCAAACCCTGCGAAGTAAGTAAAACAGCGACTGTCTACGAGTCTCTTATTTTAACCATCAAACGAAAGCCAAATCAGTGATGTAAAAACGAGAAGAAAAAAAGTAAAGCAGACGCATTTCCCCATCTAATTCAACTTGCTTTCATGGAAGACCGCCGCTACATAATTGCTATCCTTTTCTATCATCTTCTATCCTACGCGAGCTCAAACTCTTGCACCTCGCCCATATCTGTTTTCGTCTCTTCGCCTAGCCGGTACGAGAGGCGCCACCGCAGCTTGATTGCACCAACCTTACGGCTTTTATCATTCGCATGCCCAACTTCCATTGACTGCACGACCCCACGTGTTTGCAGTGGCTCCAGTGTGCGGCCGGACTGCGGTTGTAGCTTCAGCTCGAAACCCTATATAAAAGTGTCAGAAGGCTGCTATAAGCAGATGTCGAAGTTATAGTCTCCAAGATAGTAACAAGAGCTCACCTTTGTCACAGCAGTTTGAAAGTGAAGCTCAGTAACTGTCTGCTGTGTCGTGTTCGAGAATGCAAACGCAAAATGAATAGCGGCTGGCGATGCTGGAGCTCGTGTTGCGTAGAGGTCGATCTTAATAGGCCCGCTGCCAATAACTGCCCGGAACTCTTTGGGTTTCGAGGGCGCCGCCTCACTAGGAAGTGCGGATGAGAAGGACCACTCGTCATCATCCGCCACAGCGGCGGGGACAGGTGAGGGTGCTGGAACGGGACTAGCAGATACAGACGACCGGAACTTAGGAGAAGATAGGGCCGCAAAGGGATCGACCGAGGCTGATTTAGGAGGTGCAAACGCCGGAGATTGGTAATTAGGTTGCGGTGTGCCCGAGCTGGACGCTTCCAACGCCGCAGAAGTGAAGAGCGACGAGAAAGCGTCTGATGGTGCTGTAGTTGGTGGGGGCCCGGCTCCTACAGTTGTGGCAGAGGGCAGCGGCGATGCAGAAGGCGACGGTGTACCTAGTGGACCACGGGCACTACTATGATGCGTAACAGAAGAGAGCAAGGCAGGCCCGGGAACGTTGTTGTTTGCACCGAAACCAAGGGCAACGCCGCCTGGTGCCGGCTGGCCATAACTCGTTGACGGCTCATTGAACGACAATCCAAGTAAATCGTTTTCGATGCCAGTTGACTTGGGTGCTCCAGGTGTAGATGCAGTCCCTGTGGCACCATTAGAAGGCTGTGCAGCACCTTCAGACACGGTGTCGCCGTCAAAGTCGATCAACGACAGCTCCTGTGTCGCTGACGCGGCCCCATGGACAGATGCGTGAGGAATGGGTGAGCCTTGTGCAATTTTGTGAGCACCTTCGACGTCGCCTTTTTTTAAGAGCTTGTAGCGTTCAACCGTGCGGTGTATGCTGTCGTTGATCTCAAGCAACCGGGCTACAGCCGCATGGTCATCCGATTCCTCCTCACACATCTTCTGGATCTTTGGCTGTGCGCTTGACAAGGCCGACGCGAGCTCATCGAACACATCGCCATCCTTCATCGAGTCTTCACCAGGTTGGAAAGACGCAAGGCGCTCCTCCAAAAGACTCGCCTTCTGTTGAATCTTAGCCACTTCTTCGGCGGCTTTTGCACGGTAGTCGACTTTAGACCGCGTGTCGTAACCAGCCATGACCTTCATCAGGCGGTTCGCTTCCTGCAAGTCTTCGGGTGTTCCTCTACGAATCAGCTCCTGGAGTTTCGCCGATTGTGCCTCGCGCTCTTCGTCTTCCATCTCTTCGGCGGATTTAAGGTTCTATGACGATGAATTAGCAGTTGTCTCTGGCAAATCTGATAAGGTATTGGTCTGTCGCCGACATACGTCGCTAGGGTTTAATACGGCAGCGTCCTCACGGCGGACCTCCGGGAATGTGTAGCCCTTATAGCTCAACAGCCTGTGCATATCCCTAATGAAGCCTAGGTCTTCCTTGTAGCGGCTGGTTTCGCATATTGTGCCTCGCCACTCCTCGATGGCGCCGAGGATCTTAAGCTGCACGCGGGTCGGTCGGGGAGGTGGGCGTTCGGGGAAACGTCGGACGAGTTCGTTCAGAAATTCCTTGGTGCTGATCTGGAGATGGAAGGGGTAGCCGCAGTTTTTAACGCAAATGTCCAAAAGGTTCAGAGCCAACAACGCCACATTGGGGTTGCGGTGGTTGACGTAACCGACAATGGTCGTCGCGGCCTCGCGAGGCGCTGTGCCCTTCTTGGAGTTGATCAGGTCGGCGATCTCTAGGTTGAGCGCCAAATTGGGCTCATAGTTCTCCGGGCTACAAGCACTCTGGATGAATCGCTGCAGTTGCGACGGCGCCGGAAACGCAACATCGCTCCACCGGTCGCGCGCCGCGTAGCGAGCAGAGGACGCCTCCATGGTACACAAGAAACCGATACTCGTACTAACACGTGCTTTTGGTCCTTTTGGTCTCTCGGTCGATGGCAATAGTGATGCACCCAGATCCGTCGGTCTCGAAGGCCAATCCCCCTTTTGTTGTCTGCGTAGCGTGCCTTATATCCCGAATGTGTGCGGCCTGGGACGTCGAGCTGTCTTCTAAAATGCAGCAGTAGCTAGCTTCCGGTGGATGAATTTGTATATAATAGCATCGAGTGTTGAGGTTGTAGTCGTCGTCGATGCGGTGCCACCTGGTTGCGGATAGGCACCTCGGGAAAGGCGAGGGAGCTTGACTGAGGTTCCAGCCGACCTCTTCCTGTTAGGTAGGTGACTCGTAATTACTTATGAGGCGAGTTGGCCAGTGAGAGACCATGTAGAAATGAAATTTTGCACTGTTCATATACACTGTACAGCCCGTGTGATGAGACAACACCCCACCAAATCCCAGCTAAATGATAGACGACAAAAATATGTTAGTGGCTTTACAGATGCGTTCGTACTGCTTCTTCTAGAAGCTGTACCCTGTACGAGACGACCCGAAACAAAGCCGAACAAATCACGAACGTATACGATGGTGCGACATAAAAAGGATTATCACGGCAAAGGCAAAAAGCCTCTCGGCCTATCGCGGCCCCGGCCCCAAGGGGCCGGGGGCGGTGGAGACGACAGCAGCGGCTCATCTCGCCGGCCTGCTTTCAAAGCTGCGTGCTGGGATCTCGGCCACTGTGACCCCAAGCGCTGTTCCGGAAAGAAGCTGATGAAGCTTGGCCTCATGCGAGAGCTGCATCTGGGCCAGCGATATGCAGGCGTTGTGATCACGCCTAACGGTCGCAGCGTTGTCAGCCCGGCAGACAAGGAGCTCATGGCTCAGTTCGGTGCTGCTGTCGTTGAGTGCTCGTGGGCACGGACCAAGGAGGTGCAGTGGAACAAAGTCGGTGGAAAGTGTGAACGACTCCTGCCGTACCTAGTGGCAGCGAACTCGGTCAACTATGGCAAGCCGTGGCGGCTCAATTGCGTCGAGGCACTTGCGGCCGCGTTCTACATTTGCGGACAGCCAGAATGGGCGGAGGGTGTGTTGGCGCCGTTCTCCTATGGCGAGGAGTTTCTCAACATCAACAGAACCCTTCTGGACAAGTACGCGGCCTGTGCGGATGCTCTAGCGGTTAAAGAGGCTGAAGCCGACTGGATCGAGCAGCTCGAGCGCGAGTATAGCGAAAGCCGACAAGAGACTGATATGTGGAAAGGAGGCAACGTAAACCTCAGAAGCATAAGCAGAGTCAGTGGGGGGAGTCAAGACGAGGACGATAGTGACGGGGGTGGAAGCGAAGGAGGCAGTGATAGGGAAGAGGGTGAAGCAGTCGCTGACGAGGATGACGACAAAGACCCATTCGACATATCCGGCGAAAGCGATGACGACGCGGAAATGGAAGAGATTCGCCGAAAAGTTTTAGCATCTAAGCCGTTTGCCATTCCAACCGAGAAGACTGTAAAACAGCTGACGAAGCCTGCAGAGGCGCCGCTGCGGCCAGGACAGCTCCGGCCAGATTCCGATGCAGAGCCAGATTCCGACAATGATCAGCAATACGACTCATCTGAGAATGAGGATAATGGCGCTGGAAGCGATTTCGGCAGCGGCAATGCTGCCGACGACTTGGAGCTGGATCAAATTATTATGGCCACGCCCGTAACGGATCGCACGGGCCTAGCAAAGCTCAAGAAGGAAAAGGCGAGAGCGGCCATATCGACAAGGACGTTTACTTCAAACTACGTACCCGCAAGTAGGAGGGGTTGATGTGAGGGTTAAGAAATGCCTGCCATGGTTCATGCGGCTCAAACAAAAGCACATTGAAACGAAATCTGCACAATTGAAGTGTAACGAGCGCGGAAGTGGTTAATCTATACATATGCACCAATGCACCAGGGGGCCATCCGTATCCTTCTCTGTACAAAATCTGCAGCCGCCAAATGCAACCTCTCGCGATGATCCTTTTTAGTTTATAAATGCCTCGGTGCGCCAAATATCCCAAATACAATAGAAAAAAAGTACTGTTACAAGTAAATGGAACTGTCAAAGGGCTTCCCACCTATAGTCGCCTCTTCTCACGGATTTCTTCGTAGGCTTGGATCTTGTCGCCAACCTCGATGTCTTCCCATTCTTCAAACGACATGCCGCATTCAGTACCCTTGCGCATCTCACTTACTTCTTTCTTGCCATGCTTGAGAGTCTCCAATTTACCTATTAAAAGTGTTAGCGATATAATTCGGAGAGTGGGTGACCTGGAATCACAAATGTCGGTTCAAACCGAGTGCTCACCTTGGAAAATCAACTTGTTGTTCCGGAACAGCCTATATAAGCCGGTACGGGTTACTTGGCCGTTGCGCACTCGGCATCCGGCAATGTTCTTGAACACACGGCCGCGCAGGTTGATCGGGAACACCTGTAAAACCTCGGCTTCGCCCAGGACCTTACTCGTGATAATCGGCGGCAGCAGCTCTGAAAGTCTGTCCTTGATCTCGTCAACCAAGTGGTAAATGACAGTGTAATCCAGAACCGCAACGCCGGCATCCTTGGCCATCTTCTTGATTGTGCCAAGTAGCGTCGAGTTGAAGTTGACCACGATGCTGTTCGTTACGGCAGCGTGCTCAATATCAGATTCCGTAACCTGACCAGGCGCTGAGCGCAGCACCACTGGCCTGACCTCATTGTTACCAATCTCCATAATGGCCGCACATACCGCTTCAACAGAGCCCATAACGTCACCCCTGACAATGAAGTTTAATGTCTTTAGGCCATTGCCTTCTTCTGCATCCCTCGTTGCGCTATCACCCGCAGCAGCGGCATTTGGCTTTCGCCTGGAATTTTCGGTCATGGCAGCGATAGCCGCCGCTTTGGCCAACGCTGCCCTTTCTTTGTCTCTTTGCTCCTGTGCCTCTCCTTCAGAGACCGCCATTTCGCGTTCTTTGGCATCAAGGCGGTAGCTAATCGCCTCTTTGACGCGCGCTTCTGTCGGAGCTTGAAGAACTTCGTCGCCGGCATCAGGAAGGGTTCTCCAGCCCAGGATCTCGATTGGGGTTCCTGGGTGAGCCTCTTCGACCTCCACACCGGCTTCGTTCCGCATCAAGCGAATCTTGGCCCATGAGGTCCCGGCAGCAATGAAGTCACCTTTGCGTAAGGTGCCACTCTTCACCAGGACAGATGCTGACCGCCCAATGCTCTTCACGCTCGACTCGAGCACCCAGCCCTCGGCCATCGCGTTGGGATCCGCCCGTACATCCAAAATCTCGGAGAGAGTGAGGATATTTTCTTCGAGTACATCCATGCCAAGACCGGTTTTCCCGCTCACGCATGCAACTTGCACATCGCCACCAAAATCTTCGATGTCGATGCCGTGACGTGCAAGGTCGGCCTTGACCTGGTCAACACGGGCCTCGTCTTTGTCAACTTTGTTGATGGCCACAATGATTGGTACGTTAGCGGCTCGTGCATGCTTCAGTGCCTCCAGCGTTTGCGGTTTGACACCGTCATCCGCAGCCACGACCAGAATCACGATGTCAGTAACACTGGCACCACGCTGACGCATGGTCAGGAATGCCGCATGGCCCGGCGTATCCAGGAATGTGATTTGCTTCCCATTATTGAGCGCGACGGAGAAGGCTCCAATGTGTTGTGTGATTCCACCGTGTTCCTGAGCAGCCACAGACGAACTGCGTAGCCAGTCCAACATCGTCGTCTTGCCGTGGTCGACGTGGCCCATGATCGTCACGATAGGCGGTCGTGGTGGTAGCGTTGAAGGATCTTCAGGTGGTGGGCTGCGCTTAAGGTCGATCGTCGCGCCAGTGTCCACCGTCGGTTCGTAGCCATATTCCTGCGCGACAAGCGCGGCCGTCTCACCTGTCATGACGCTTTCGAGAGTTATGTCCTCGAAGCCAAGTTCGCCGAGTTGTTGCATAAATATTTGTGGCTTTACGCGAAGAGCCTGTCCCAGGTCTGAGACACTGATAAACTGTGGCAATAGGATTGGTGTCGGCCCCGACGCCGACGCCGCTATTTCACGCTGACGCCTTTTCTCCGCTTTGCGCGCGCGCCGGTCTTCGGCAACCCTGTCGAAATCTTCGAAATCGTCTTCCCCGTCCGTCACAAATCCCCTGTCTTGGGAGCGTCCTCTACCCTTTGATTTCGATGACACGGGCTTTTCTTTGCGATGCTTCGTACGAGGTCCGCGGTCACCATGAGACCCAAATTCCGAGGCCATGATTGTCGGGACATTCGTATCAAAGTCGGGACCAAATGCGTTACTTTGCTCACCAATCCACTGCGAAACCTGCCCCTTGCTACTGGCGACACCTTCGCTCCTAGTCCGGTTGCCCCGCCCAGTGTGCGCCCCAGTGTTTCGCGGAGATCGAGGCGCCTGGCCCAACCGGGCTGTTGTATTTTTTTGTTGCCGTCCATCTCGCTCTGCGGAGCCCTTTCCGATGCGTGACTCCAACTGCGACCAGAACTGATCCGTACTTTGCGGGTTCCCATCTGTGCCGTTTGAGCCCGGTTCCGGACTTCGCCGGATTGGCTCAGGTCGCAACGAGGTCTGTATTTCGCCAGCGTATTTAGAGGCCGGTTTGATAGATTGGCGCCGAAACGTTGGTACCAGACTGCCGTCTCCCTGGGATTGTTGACCGCCCGGGCGCCGGAAAGACGGCCTCTGAGCCAACTTCCCCCAGGCATTTCCTTGGCCGGAATCCAATTCTCCGTTAGACGGGCTAGATGAGCCACTTAAACCTGGCGACGGGGGTAGTCTCGGAGGTTGGTTAGGAGTTTGCGCAAATAGACTCGGCCTTCGATCCTTTGGCAACTCTCTGCTGAAAGGGCTTACGCGGCCTGTGGTGGCTGCTTCACGTTGAGGCGGGCCATACCTGCGCTTCGGATAAGATGGGTCATTGAAGGACGCCTGGGACCAATCTCGTTCATACCATCTCCGTTGCGATGTATGGAGACAGCTTGTTGATGCTGCCGGCTGATGGAGTCGAATGAGAAGTTGGATTGACGGACACGACTGTCGGGGCCCCTAGAATGTCAGAATTACATTCCGGGGAAAAGAAACATAAACTATATAGAACTTACATTGTGTAGGTTCCCGCGTATCATGGCAAAGGTCTGGCGGTCGAAACGCTTTAATGTTCCTTGCAGAGCTTCTGTCGTAAAATCAAAAATTTTGGCCGTTGAAAAACATTTTGCGCATAATATGCTATTAACGGGTAATTGGGCGATTAGAAAGCGCGATTCCACGTCACGCCAAATACCATTTAGCTTTGCTTCTTGTACCTTGTCTCGTGCTCCTGGGCCCACATATAACAGAATAAGGCTTCCTTGTTCCCCTTGGTGCCTTTTTTACATTCACCTCTCCATGAGCTCCTTACCATCTATGCTCTTTACGCTTGATCCACGGTAACCTCGACACTCCTATCGTCGACTTCCAAAGTCTTTCCCCTCACCCTTTGAATAACCATATCCCATCAATGGCTACAAAAAGGGCCGGCAAGGCGTCTGGTGCCCGCAAATCAGACACCATTTCCAACAACGAACCACCTGTGCCCTTCAAGAAGGCCCCTGACAGCTTGGAGCCATTCTTCGACCAACTCTCCGCCCGCCATATCTATATCGCACACATTGATAGCAAACCTGCGTCCTTTAAGCGAAAGATATTCAGTGTCCCGGTTCTCATGAACATTGGCGTTGTGCTACTGTTTGCTCTACGGGTTTGGTACATTGGACCATATTACTACCTGCTGCTCCAATCCGCTCTTGGTACCGCCAATGCCACGACGTTTTTAGCCAAGGATCTGTCCTGGAACCAGTTAATCTCTGTGATATTCCGCCGTGGCTTTACTTTTATGCTAGACCTTACCCTGTGTGTCTTTGTCTGGCCATGGCCCATTGAGTTCTGTTTCGGTACCACACATGGCAACCCCGTTGGTTGGCGGATGCAGGTCGGCTTCCGCGACAAGGAGATCTACGTTCGCCGCAGCCGCTCGTGGTATTCATCGACAAAGAATAGCACCATATCGGAAGATGCGGCCGGCAGCAACAGTGGCGCCACGACGAAAATGGATCTGGTCAACGATGAGGATGCTCGTCGCCTGCTTGTTGCACACATCAGCCAAGCGACATCGCCACTGTTGACCCAGCAAAAGACGGGCTACCTCACCATGGACGGCAATTGGGACCTGGATTGGAACTTGATGGTGCTGGCGACGCACCTGGTGGACAAAAAGGAACTCGCGCTCGAGGCCTTTACATCACTGACACTTCTTCACCATGACGACTATGGCTGGCTGACTGTAGACTTGCGGTCACTAGGTGGTGGTGTTGGCTCTAGTGCCTCCTCGGGTGACGATGACATTCGCCGCAGACAAGTGTTTGCTTTTCGTGATGCGCTCGCTACGATTGGGAAGGAGGACTTGTTTTTCCGTTGGATTGAAATTATTCAGTTCGAGGCTACGCGGCCTGGAGGTCTTGGCGATGCAGAAAGGCAAGCAATAGTTGCTAAAGAGGTGCGGGATGTATTCCAAGAAAATGGCGTAGACTTTGACCAGCTCTGGGCTGACTCGGTAGGTACAGAAGGACTTCACGGAATGTAAGGATATATCTTGACAGACGTCGCCAGCATCTTTGACTTGAGAGTAGTCGAGGGACAGGTAGACAGGCAAATTAGGCTAAAAGCACTGGCTAGTGCAATGTACATGAAATGTTTGGCTTAGATTAGAGAGGTTCTAGCATTTCGGTATACTGGTGCATGGGGTAGATCGTGTCACGTAGACCGTGAGGCGGATTTTAATATGTAATATAAGGCGTTAGAATAGTTGGGGTTCTTTTGCTTTACACACCCCATCCTCATCCGAGTACCGTAGGCTGACATGTAATCGCTATAATGCATTAGTCTCTATGTATTGGAGGCCTGAATTTGAGCATGCTAATGAGGTCTCTATTATTTAGATCTTTGCCTTATTTTGGACCATCACTTATTTTTTTGCCTTTTTGGGCTTACCCAGCGCAGCCTCCCGCTTCTTCGCCTCGCGCGCCTCGGTCTCTTCTCTGCGAGCTTTTTCTAATGCTTCCCGCTCCTCCTTCTCGGCCTGGGCGAGGTGACGTATTAGTTATAAGAGACTTCGTATTGGGACCACAAGACGCCCAACTTACCTGTTTCCGCGCCGCCTCGGCCTCACGCTTCTCTCGAATGATTCTCAAGCGCGCCAGGTCGGCTTTGGCCTCGTCCGTCTTTCCCTGCTCGTGCAGTTTGCGGTAACGCTCCTTGGCCTGCTGGGCCTCGAGAGACTCACGCTCCCGACGAGATTGGGGCGCGGTAGTACCGCCTAGGCTTAGATCCTTGACTCCCTCGCCAGCTTCGTCAACATCGCGGTTCCCAGAGGCTGAAGCCACTTTCGTCTGGCTTCGTGCAGCCCGCGAGTGGTTCGGGTTGGTAGGAAGATCTTCGTCGTCACTCTCGTCTTCGCTGGATGGTAGATCGCCCACTTGGATGGCCTGGCCCTTGGCACGAGCGATCGCTGCCTCCTTACGGGCCTTCTTCTCCTTCTTGCGATCCTCGCGGGATGCTGCGGATGCCGCTAAGGCAGCACTCGAAGAAGGGGCAGCATCATCAGAGTCTTCCTCCGAGTCGGAAACCTCCTCTGAGTCGTCGTCCTCCGAGTCGTCACTCCCGTTTTGTTTTGGTACGCCATCCTCGCTCCACATGCTAATTTCATTGCCATCGGCATCGAGAGGCCGCAGGTTACGAGAGAAGTGCTTGCCACCTGTGAGATCCCATCGTCAGCCAAATGAACTTCGAGCATGGGATTCTTCCTGTGGAGGACTTACCGCCGCGTGTGAACTTCCGGAACTTGCCACCACGGCCACGCGAGTTCGCACCGGGCGCTTGACCACCGGCCATATTCGAAAGTTAATTGATAAGAGGGGAGAAATGGAATGTATCGGGCGGCCCAGGTTGTAACTGTCTGTTCTGCTAGAGAACAGGCAAGCGCGATATAACTGCGTTGAAACTTCGAGGAGTGCCGGGCGGTTGTTTGCGTAAAAAGGAAATTGTAGAGCGGCAGAAGCAAGCCGTCGTGTGACCACGAAATGCTTCAAAGTAGGGCCATAAAATGTGAAATGCCAGAGGATGATGAGGGGCAACCATTGGAGGTTCAATACGTGAAAGAGTCAACATCGAGGTACATGCGGTTGCATAAAAATGAGGGGTAGTTTTTGGCCCTCTTGTACTTTCTGCCCAACATTGCACACTGTACAAAGCCGCCCGGAATTTTCACTACTGGGCATTGTTCCTTATTCCAAGCGACAAAGCATGTCAAAATTTCGCGGACGCTAATCCACTTAAAACAAGTAATTTGTATTAGTCACGCGCATGACTACATTTTTGGCCATGTACCACGCTAAATTCGAATTTAGACGATTATGCAATTATAACGAGAGACCCGCTCTTTCTGTGACCGCCGAACTAAACTTTAAAATCGGATCTCACTGAAACTTTCTCCGTGGTTTCTTCTCCTTTTCCTTTTTTTCTCCCTCAACATAAAACGAAAACATACTCCTTCATATTCACTCTGGCTTTAGCCGTCATTCTTCAGTGGCAGGCCTTGGAGGGGAAATTGGAGGACAGAGGAATTTCTTACGAGAATCGGCGCCTTAGTAACCCTTTTCGGGTCTTGATCTCTTTTTCTGTCCTGCAAAGGAAAGGAATGTGGCTTCAAGCGATATTTTTGCGTCATACAAGCTTACACGGGTACCGCACTTTCGTTGGCATGATGTGTACCCCGTATTAGGTCCATGGAGTGCCTGAACGGAACTTCTACGCAAGAAAGTCGTCCAGCATGCTCCCGATGCTCCTCCCTCCCTTAGGCTTTTTTGCAGGTGGCTGCAACTGCTCCTGTATCTTGCGGCGTTGGCCATTCGACAGAACTGAATCCGTGGCTGTCTTTCTCCGCGTCTTGAGAGCCGCTTGCGAAGCGATGTCATCACGCGCCCGGATGAAACAAAATGCGCGGTCTCCTTGTCTAGAGATGGTGTCGTTCCTGGAGCCCTGGTCGCTTCCCAAGCTCAACAACGCGAAATGATCTTTAAGGGGCTCAGCTGCGGCTGCCGCTAGGAAGCCATCTTCAAACTAACGGCCATCGTAAGCCGTCTTAGCTACAAACGAATACAGGTGCGAACCCCAGCGTAGAGCTTCCACCGGTGTAGTGTGATCCTCTACCATGTTGAGTGTCAAAATATACGAATCCGGGTTCTTATGCGGAACCTCTGTCGCAATGTTGTACTGGGAGCTTTGCCTCGAGAGGGAAAGACCAGTCCAGCCAGACGCCGAAGCAGTCAGCAAGGCATCTGACCATGTGTCCGGCGTGGCCTGATGGTTGTTGTATTGGATGGACACAACTATGAGCGCCAACAACGGAAATTTCACTGCATTCTGCAGACACGCTGAAGTCAATATGTAACCACTGCATCCCCAAAGCCGGAGCACGCGCAGAGCCGGAAAGGGATCCGGTCGCGTCAGGCTCCAGCCCCTGACCAGTCGATCGCTGACCTGCTGCGGGTCGAGATAAGCGTCTGCACTCTGCCCATGCATCCCCTCATTAAGCCTTAGCTGGTCCCATGGAGCACGATCCGGTGCGCGTTCGATGATCTCAAGCACTCCTAGGTTTGGCAATTTAGCCAGCTTCATCAGCTCCGGAACGCCAAAATCAGCCCGGTGCGGAGTTACAATGCGTAGGTGGGCAATGAATTCGTAGGGTGGCGCACTGAGCGCGATAATATAAACATCGAGAGAGCTGCGCGGCTGCCGGTACTGCGTACAGTAGAGGTGGACACGCCTCGCTTCAGACAAGGGTTCGACACTGCTGGGCGAGGTATTCTTCGACCGGAGAGGCAGGAACATTCTCCATAGACGCAGAGACAAATCGCGGCTTGGAGCACACGGAGACGTCAGCAACGTGGACATATATATATCGACTGGCTGCGACTAAAGTTGCGGCTTCGGCTATTTCCTTACCTATTCGTCAAGGCCCTGCGAAGAGCTTTCTGCTGCCTTTCACCAAGGCTTGCTATGTGATCCGATCCGAGTGCATCGTGGTTACGTGCGAGCGCAGCTAGCGCCATCGCACCTAGGCCTCTGGGTCCCGTGGCTGGTCGTCCAGTCCGCCCATGTTGCCGAGACGCTGTGGCCGTCAGGCCTGGAAGGACTCCGCTGGCTGAACGGGGTTTTGCTAGTCCCTCCATCCTGCATAGACGGTGTATGGACTGGCCACAGGAATCATTCCGTGGCGTGTAGAACTGTACCACGTTGGCGTTAGGCCTGGAGCGTTCAACGTTTCTTGGTTAGGCAAGGAGTGTGCTGTGTTTTGACTTTAAGTCTAGTTGGTGTCCTGTCTGAAATGGGATTTCGAGGGCCCAAACATAACCACCGAAAGTGGCTAGTAGTCAGCAGTAGCGTATAGCACGTGTCGACAACAACGCTTCGGAAATTTGGGGGGGACGGAGACAATTAATTTATCAAATCCAGGTTTCTTTGCATTACCAACGTGACATTTTAGGGCATAAACCATATGTATCTTACATACAAATATTTTAGCCCGCCCAAGGCGCACGTATGCGGACTGCGCTCAAGGGACTCAAACGCCCCACCTACAGCATCGGCTTCAGGTCATCGGCGACCGCAAACGGCGCTTCGGTCTTGCTACGAATCTCGTCGACAGTAACACCGTCTGCAATCTCGACCAGGGTCAGGCCACTGGCAAAGTTGACATCAAAGACGCCCTGTGACACATTGTTAGTCAATGGATTCGGTTCACAGTTGCATAGGATAGAAAGAGGGGGCGGGTGGGGGAGGGTCTGGTTGTACCAGTTCTGTGATGATGCGCGAAACGCAGGCCTTGCCGGTCAATGGGAAGGCGCACTGCTTAACAACCTTCGGGTTGCCCTTTTTATCAGTGTGCTCCATCGTGACCACCACCTTGGTCGCGCTCGGGTTGCTGACGAGGTCCATGGCGCCACCGAAGCCCTTGACCTTGCCCGGCAACATCCAGTTGGCCAAGTCGCCGTTGGCGCTGACCTGCATAGCGCCGAGGATTGTCAGGTTGACGCGGCCGCTGCGAATCATGCCGAAGCTCTCCTCGCTGCCGAAGACCGACGCACCCGGCTTCAGGGTGACAGTCTCCTTGCCTGCGTTAATCAGATCGGCATCCTCCTCTCCCTTCTTTGGGTACGGACCCAGGCCCAGGATGCCGTTCTCACTCTGCAGCTGGACTTCGACGTCCGCAGACACAAACTTGGGCGCCAGCATGGGCATGCCAATGCCAAGATTAGCGTACATGCCATTCTTAAACTCCTTGGCCGCACGACGCACAATGCGGTCGCGCTTGGCAGCCGTATCACCGGTGCCCAGCGTCTTCTTGGTCTGCTCGGCGGCGTCGGCCTCGTCCAGCGTCCAGACGTACTTCTCAACCTTCTTGGGAGCGGTGCTCTGCACCACGCGCTTCACGTAGATCCCCGGAAGGTGCACCGACTCGGGCGGAATCTCACCGGGCTCCACAATGTGCTCGGCCTCGACAATAGTCATCTTGGCATTGCGGCCCATAGCACCGTTGAAGTTGTGCGCGGAGAGGCGGAACTGGCAGTTACCGAGACGGTCGGCCTTGTAGGCCTTTACGAATGCGTAGTCGCCAGCAATGCTCTCCTCCATCAGGTAGGCCTTGCCATTGAACACGCGCAGATCCTTGGGCGTGGAGAACTCGGCAGGGGTACCGTCGGGGTTGTTGCGCAGGGGCAGCTCGCCGGTCTGCACAACGGTGCTGAGGGCAGCCGGTGTGAAAAAGGCCGGGATGCCGCGGCCACCGGCAGAGCAGCGCTCGGCCAGTGTGCCCTGCGGGGTCAGCTCAAGCTCGATGTCACCCTTGAGGTACATCTGCTCGAGCGTCTTGTTCTCGCCAATGTACGAGGCAATCATTTTGCTGACCTGGCGCGACTGAAGAAGCTTGCCGAGGCCGCTGTCGTCCGTGCCGGCGTTGTTGGAGACGGCGGTCAGGCCCTTGATGTGTGGCATGGTGGCGACGGTCTCGATCAGCGTGTCGGCCACACCCGAAAGACCAAACCCGCCACACATGAGAATCGAGTGGGGCTTCATATCCTTGAGAGCCTCGGCCGCTGACGGGTATACCTTGTTGATCTCGGCTCGCCGCACCGTAACTGAAAAGCCCCGAGCAAGCAGCGCGCCATGCTATCGGTCGTGTTAGCCATCAGTTCGCAGCAACCAGTGACCAGTGACCAGTACCGTTAATGACTACCCGCGCGTTGTTGAGTCGACTTACGTTGCTGCCGTATTTAGAGTAGGCCCGCAGGCTCTTTAAGCAGTTTACTGCTGAGCGCATCGCGGTCTGCCTTATGAGATTGGGCGCGAAGAAGCAACAAACGGGTGGAGAGGCTCAAGGAAGGATGTTGAGACTGACGACGGGAAGGCGATGTGCACCAGTTGCGAGGGTGGGGGGGACAAGACGAGGAATGTGTGAGGAGAAACGGAAACAAAATGAGTGGGAAGATAACGAGGGTAGAAAAGAAAACGTAGACAAGAAGCAGAGAGAATCACAAAAGAACCAGTGAAGAAAGACGAGGTCACAGCATGCTCTTTTCTTAGGCGGAAGAATTGGAGAAGGGGGGGATTGTGGAATTCGACAAAGCTTAGGGAACAACAATTCGCCCATCAGACTGAGGACCAGCCGTATAAAAAAAGGAAGGGTATTAATCGCATGCGCAAAGGCACAACCTGCTGTCACGGAAGCGACGAGAAAGGAACCACGGCCACAACGACACCAGAACGACATGCCGCAGCGATGTAAACTAACCACAAAGGTCAAGAAAAGCAGATGCGCTCAACCACAAAGGCCGGGAGAGAACGGGATGTCGGTAGACGTCGAGATACAACGGCGAGTCGGAAGGGGTAGTTGGCACCAGAAGACGCAAGGTATATGTCGCGGAAAATATGGCTAAACGTTCTCGCAGACTAGCAAGTCACTATGTTCCCAGCCAGGCAGGCTCCTCATTCGGCGCCCAGTCACCGAGGCGACTACCCCAATACAGAATGTTAAGAGTGGCGGCCAAGGGAAGCCGCTTCTGGCCGAAACATATGCCGGCGGTAATTGAATTTCCCATTCGGAACGATTGTATTCGTACTTCGTAAATATGATAAACAAAATAGAAGTTGCCACAGCACAAAATGCATGACAACAAACAAGTCCTTTTAGGACCCCGCAGCCATAAAAACACAGTTCACTGACGCCCGCCGTCGCCACCGTATACTCTCCAAGAACCGATGCTTCACATCACTACAAAAAAAAGATACATAGGTCAGCCCAGAGGTTTGTTTCCCCACATTCTCGATTTTCCCTGTCCTCGCCGACTTCGCACAATCTTCGGCAAATGGTCCGACACAAAAAAGGTTTCGAGGATATATTGTCTTAAAGGTCTACGTTGACGCAGGTTTTCTCTATGCCCGCTAGCGCCACTGTGGTCATTTTTAAGGCGCCTTCTGTATTCAGTTAGGTTGTTCACTGGGGAAAAAGCTGCCTCCGGTGACGTTGGCGTCTGTAAAAGCGCCCTGACTTAAAACACGGCCTTCCGATGGCAGGCTGAAGACACCCGAACCGAAAAGCGCCAACTTTCGGCAGTCCTCTTCTGGTTATGTCGTTACGTGATAATGTTCCGATTTCTTTTACCTCCTGCAGTTAGAAACACCAAACACGACGCTAAAAAACGCCATACTAAAAAGCCCATTCCGAGCATCGACGCACCATCATTCCGGAGCAGACATCAGCGATACCCACATAGGTGCGCGGAATGACACAGGAGAGGATGCAGGTATTACCGCATAAAAGAAAACTCCAGCAAACAAAGCAGATACAAGACGTGGACTCTGAAAACTCCACAACTTCCCAGGACACAGAACGAAACAAGCAAAGAAGCTTCAAAACAAACGACTGGAAAAGAGAAACTTTAATAATGAAAACGCCCGTTGACGCTCAATCAGTAATGTATTGGTAGTACAGAGAAGCTAATGCGCTTTCTTCGAAACATGCCATTAGCACTGAGCAAAACGGTATGTTCGTCATTCGGTTGGGTTTAAAAGATGTCGTTGATGCCTGTTCTCGCCAAATGGTTGTATATGCTCCTGGTACATACCCCCACAAAATCTATGGCCATTCGTGGTACGAAAACAATACCTGGAAGGTGGATGGCGGGAGCCACACATATCCGCCAGGTCTCCAATGGCGGTTTGAGGCCAGCTGCGATCGCCAGCACTTCGTAGTTTATTCATGGTCGCGCATTTGCAGCGGGTTTAGCCGTCGCCGCAGACGCCAAATTGTGGTCGTTATTAAACGTCCAACGTCCTATAGTGGTTAGCGGTAAAAGGTAAAGTCAAGTAAAAGAAGTGCTCGCGGATTGAGATGCCGCAGACTTACCGTGTGCAAGATTGTCGGCCGTGTACTCCAGGAGAATCACGCGCCGTTTGTTACAGTACGCAGTCTTGTCCATGATGTCCACCTTCATCTTGGCCTCCGACAGATCGCTGACCGGCTTTTCGAACATTTCTGACAGTGCCTCCACGGCCATCTCGAGATCCTTTTGGTTGTCCTCGAACATCTCTGTGATGTTATTCCGAGCAAGGTAAAAAGCGAAAGCATATGTCCACTTCAACGTCTGGCGACAGGTCTGCAGCGCCTGTGACGCGGCGTTCAGATACTGTACCTCAATCCAAGACATGCCTGAAGAGGTCTGCAACTGGACCATCTTTTGTTCGGTACGTGTGTAAATATCCTTGTCCAACCTGGCTGACTGCTCGTGGTTTGCGTATCGATTGTAGTAGTGCAGATATCGCTCCAAGGAAACTCTAGATTTTGCTTGTGCATCACGAGCTTCAGTACCGCTCTTCTCTTCGAAACGGTTGCAATTGTACCAACTGGTACCATGCTCCGACCAGAGTCCCATGCACATCCAGCAAAACTCGTGCTTGCACTTTCTACAAGTCATGTGATTGCAGCCGCCGTTTTTTTCGATTGTTGAGTTGCACTTCGGACATTCCTTTGTGTTTGCAGAAATCCAGTTGGCAGTTTCGGAATCGTCGGCACACTTCTTCAACCACTGCTTCACAAGCTTGCATGGAGCAGGCTGGTGGTCTTTCAGGCAGCAGCCGAAGCAGAAACGGTAGCCACAGCTGCATTCGACAGAAGGGACAATGCGGTCTAAGTCCTTTTTCTTGATGTGGCAATCCACGGCATTCTCACAATCGGGCGCAGGGCACCACTTCAGCGAATCCTTGTCTTCGACGTACGTGCGATTAAGCAGTTCGTGGTAGCGATCAGAAAGGTCCGGAGTGACAAGAATGCTCAGGGACTTGGCGTCAATGATGCGGCCGCAATTGGTCGTGGGGCACTGTATTCTTGCCGCTTCGCCCTCTTCGCGGATTTTCTGTGTCAAATATTGGCGATAGCAGTCCACGCAGTAACGGTGGCCGCACTTTAATGCAAAAGTTTCCAATCCTTCGTCGTCCTCGCAACATATGTCACAAGTGAAACCAGGAATGACCTCCAGCCTCGGCAGTCCGACAACGTCGGCCCCAAGCCCGGCGGCTTCCAGAACATTGGAAGGGCTCTCCATGTATTCCTCTATGAGACGCTCCCGGTTCCAACGGAAGTGGCGGAGGAGGATAGCTGCGTCTTCGGGTCGCATTTCGAGGATCATGTTGACTTCGTCCATGAGTTCCTCCTGTTGTCGGTCAAGGTCCCTCGGTTCATAGACTTTAAAATCGACTTCATATGCGTGTTTTCGTTTATCGTCAGCCGCTACATCCTTAACGATGTCGATGTCGATATCATCCGGCTCTTCTTCGAAGTCGTCAAAATCTATATGTCATAATCGTGCATTAGAGGAGATCAGGGAATGAAGCAGAAGACAAGGGATTTTAAAGCAAACACGTACCTTCACCTCCTGACAGTAAACCGTTGTCACTATCATCGTGCATAGCATCGTCCTCGCTTGACATGTTCGACAAGAAGTCGTCGTCGGACTCCATGGCGGTAGAAACGGCCGTCTGTGGTGTCGGCGGTCCGTCCTGGGGAGAAGACAAAGCAGGTGTCGGATTCGACGCTCCCTCAGAGATTATCGGGAGATTCGTACTCCTAGTACCTCTGGTTGTTGTCGCCGTTGTCGCCGGTGTAGGCGCCTTGGTGTCTGTGGCTTGCTTCAAGCCCTCGGGCGGTTGCCTCCTCTGGCGAAGAGAGCGGCCCTCGGTGGTTGCCGTCGCCTCAGCGGCTTTCCGCTTTGGTAGTCGAGGAATGGTGATGGTGGCTCTAAGCTCGTCAAAAAACCTTGACGAGCCGTCCGAAAAATGAAGTGGGAGGTGAAGAAAGGGAGGAAAGAGATGATGCCTAATAGGTACTCCGATTCGGGAAGAATCTACGGAAAGAGAGGTGGACAGTGCCAGGCGACAACGAGATTTGATGGGTCTGTAGAAAAGAAAATCTATGCTCGGAGGGCGGCATAAACAAAGGAAATAGTGACGTTGGAAGCGTGTATGTTTTGACGAAATGAAGAAACGCAGACAAAGGTCGAACAAAATACGGATTCGCAAGGCAGCAAAGAGCAGGGCTGATTTGAGAAGCGATGGAGATTGTTGATAAAGAGAAAGCAGGCGAGGTGCAGTAACGAATGTGATCGAGGGGCGGAGCCAGGCGCCGGAAATACAGTGTTCGGCTGTCCGCTACCAGACACCGCCCTGTTTCACAGGGGACGGTGACTTGAGTCTCTAGGACGGCGACTGACGGCTTAGAACCTGGTAGAATACAAAGGTCCCTGCGACGCGCGACTCTAACAGTGCCAGGCATCATTTTGTCAGGCCTAATTGTATTTGTCACTTTATCGCCGCCATTTCAGCCCAAAGAAACCTAAACAACGGTTGGCAACGACGTATCACGTGAGTTGTAGTTTGGTGTGTGAAATTTGGTCGCCGTTCGGCTTTCAGTGCATTTTGTTGGTGCTGCGACAGACCCCACCAAAGAAATCTTAATACAGAGCTGCACAGGTCACGAAGTACGGAATGTCAAGCTAGTTCAAAATGTCATCACGTTTGAGTCATATGAAATGTGCTTCATACGCCGTACAGTCAAGCAGAATTGTTCCGAGAACAGAAACCCGCTTCATCCCCCATATGTGTTGCTATTCCTTCGCATCCAACATCCCAGCGTGACGGACGATTGCCCAACCGCATTCTAGGCCTCACTTTATCGGCTTCCACTGGTTTAAAGGATGTTGTTGGCCAGCGACACTGCAAGACAAGTCAGTTCGGATCGGGGGCACCTGGCATTTCCAAAGAGGAAGAGGAGGGGAGTCAAGACTTGTACGGGTGCGTGAAACCCAAGAAGACATACCATCCGTTCCTGTGTTGTCGGGCTCGACATGGGCACTCTTGACTTTACCGTTCTCGATGACAAGAGCATAGCGTTTGGAGCGGTCGTTGCCAAAAAAGGCAGAGGCATCGAAATCAAGGTCTAGAGCCTTGGTGAACTCACCAGCAGGGTCTCCCAAAAATCGGATCTAACAAGCCGTCAGCTGTCTATCACCGTGACAAGTTCCGAGAATGTTGCTCTGAAGTATCCTACGTACCTTAGAGTCATGAGTTGGGTCCAGGGAGTCACCCCATGCTTTCATCCTACGTAGTCTATCAGTCTGTGCTCGGCTCGCCGGAACATGGAAATAGCCACCCAATGTACAAGCCGACAGATACACTCACACAAAAGCATCGTTGACGGACACAACGAAGACTTGCCCAGCGTTCTTCAGCTTGGGGTGCGTAATGTATGAAGGAACATGTGTCTGCGAGCAAGCACCAGAAAAGGCGCCTGGCACGCCAATGATGAGGCCGTCACCCTTCTGAAATTCCTCGGCGAGATTGACCTTGTTACCCGGGCTGTCCTCGACAAGGACCTCCAGATTGGGCACCTCCTGGCCAACTTTCACAAAAAGAGGCCGACCAACGTGCAAGTGGCGGATTAAAGGCGCAGTGGTCGCCCGCGGTAGGACCGACGCCATGCGGGCAGCAGTGATAGATGATCTGAACAAACGGGAAGCCATTTTGGACGTTGTTGTGAGTTTTATAGGAGAAAGGTTGCCTCCAGGGGATACTCTTTGCTTCGTAAATGTTTGTTGGCCGTGAGTTGTAATAACGGAGACTGCGCGAGACGGAATGCTTTGGCGTCGATAATGTACATCATCAAGAGGGGAAGGGAGGTTAGAAAAGCAGAAGCCTGTGGGCATTGGCCAATAAGGACTTGTGGAGCCATGCCCAGCCCAGCCTTCTAATTTGACCGTAAAATGGCACTCTGCTTTGCCCAACATTAAAAGACAAGTGACTTTTGGTTATGTGCCATTTACCAATATGAAAAGCTTAGACGGGTTACGAGTTTTTATTTATTTATTTATGTACTTTCAGTGAAAACAAGTCTTATCAGGTAAGCTGCACACTCCGATATGTAATATGTAGTTACTTGTGAACCGTGATAATCCAGTGCTAAAATGACATTGCCGTTAGGTGGCTTATCCTATGCTGCCGCATTGGACAGCAATTTGAACACGCGGTCCAAAACTTGACCATATTCTGTATCAGTCCCCAGCATCCCAGTTACAGAAAGAGTTTTGTCCCGAGACCTTGTGCCGCGGGTGACACTTACACTGGACTTCGGAACCCCAAGAATCTTAACTGTCAGGTGCCACTCAAGTCTCTCAAGAAGGGAAATTGGCTAGGAGCAAGATGTAGTTACCTGAGATAACACCTGGGCAACTGCTTTATTTGCTTCTCCATCGCGTGCGTGCGCTGCAACGCAAATCTCAACAGCGCCGTCGGTAACAGCTACAACGCCGTCGCGCACTCTGCTCGCGCCAGGCTTGACACGACATTGCAGAATTAGGATCCCAGTAGCAGGATATTTTGCAGCTGGAATGTACCGGATAGCAGCAGACATGGAAAGTGGCGTCGACAGCAAGGGGAGCAGCCGTTCCTTGGAAGGTGAAGGGTGGCGATAGATGGTGTTCGGCAGTCGGGCCGGACGACGCCGCGGCAGCTTTTTGTTGTTCACAATGACGTGGCAGCAATTAGCGGGGTATGCGGATAGCAGCAAATATGCCCCAGATTTGCGCAAGTCACAGCACGTCAGCTAATTGACATCCGATGAATTTCTTGCTTCTCGGTTCTACCTAGCGAACACTTCTACCCCGTGCCCTCGCCAGCCCACTAGGGCGGCCGCCACGTGTGCTCGGCGCTCCGTGAGTGTCCGGCACTCCCCGCCCATCACGTCTTGTTGCTGTACCTCGGCTAGCGCCTCCTCTGCCACGTGGTGGCCTGGCGGTCTGGGGCCGGGACGTGTTTCGAGGAGCCGTAGCAGGAGGGTTGTCGACAAAAGACGTATCGGTAGTCCTGGCGAGTAGGCGCCAAGGTCAGTATTGTGCGTACCACATATCGTGTTTAGGGTAACGTGCATATTAACTCACATAAATGTGGTCTCGCCATCCAAGTCTCCCGTCAGTCTTTCCGCTGGACGGGGAATTCCTGAGAATGGCATCAGCCTGTTGATTCGAATATGTACACTCGCTCGTCAATAGACACAGGTATTTACTCACCTCCAGTCAGGCCGCCTGTCTCATGGTCGGCCCCTGCCGCCTCCTCCCTCTGCCTGACTCTCTTAAACGATTCGTAGACGGGACCCTGCAGGCAGAAAGTCTGTTTTAGCAGAAAAACAAGACTAGCAAGCATGAAATTCAATTGGCAAGTTTGGCGGTACGCACCTCGGGAAAGTCCACGCAGTAGGCGTTCATATTCAGGCCGTACATGAAGCTGGCGAAGCTCTCGCTAAACCGTGCGAGGCTTTCATGCATCAACTGGAAGTGCATCATATTCGCCTCTAAATCAGCCATAGCCTCCGAAAGTTCTGCAAAAGCTGGCTCGAATGCATTAAGTGGAAACTGGGCGTCGCCGAGAACACTCCCTCGGGCAGATTCTCGGAATGACGAGCGCGACGATGCTCGAAGTGGCGTGGTAGGGCGTGACGTTCGCGTGCGTGACGTAGACTCTTGTCGGCCGGATGAACTAAGCGGCTCATACGACATGATGGCAGCCGGGCTCAGGTCAAACTCTGTGCAAGAAGTCTGTTCTACACAGAGTCTGTGCAAGCCTGTTGGGTGGCGCGGTTGGATTCGTTCAAAACCGCTGAAATAATCCGTGGCTGGATAAACTTGTTGTCTTCATATTTACACCAACTTCGGCACATTCACTACGCTCTGTAAAACCCTCCGCCTTAAGTACTTAGTGGGTTCGCGTCGCCTCAACGCGCTACAACGCGTAGGTAAAGCAGCGTGAGCAGCTAAGTGTGGCCCAAAGTCTGTGTATCAACGGCAAGGGAACGGGCCAGGCACGTGCCTAATTCCTGGTTCAATCGATGGGCCTGGTGCAACACAGAAAAAAGGTAGCAAAGGTAGCTTTCTGAGGAAGGTGTCGGGGGGGGCCAAAAAAAATCCCTAGAAAGCTAATATCCAGCTCAAACTTACTTTTTCAAATGCTCAAATAAAAGCACCTACTGATGCGCTGTCCCGATGTATCCTTTGTGTACTAAGATGGCAGGTAAGTCAGGGGACACGATTCTATTTTTTTCCGTAAACCCGTTAAGTTACTATGACGCACATAAAATTAGGGCCAAGCCTCCTGCAGCTCTTTGGTGAAGCGTATTTTCATGTATCCGGGAGGTCCGGTGGCCAAGGACAGCACCGTAAGCGTCACAATGGCGCTTCTGATGATCAAAAAGGGCGAAAGGCGATACATCCCAGCTTTTGCACAAACTAGATGGCGGAATGAATGGCTGGGTTCAGTTACCGAGCTAAACTCCAAAGCCCCCCCCCCCTTCCAGATCACCCTTTGCAACGCAAAATCCTAAAATACGTTGGGGCCAGCAACGCTCACTCAGAAGCGCACCAACCTCAGCATCGAAAACACTCTCGCCAATTCTTAGTCTGGCAGCCTCAATTGATTTCGTGTTTCTCGATCTCGCCATCGCTGTAACACACGTTGGTCGCTTCCAGCTCCCTAGACATTCGTTCACGGTTATCCTTTTGTTACACATCGACGGCATCTCCCTTCCGCTTTACGACGCACTACCCCGCGACGACATGCTCATCGAGCCTGCTAAATCCCTCCGGCGCTGAATACCTGCATTTATCTGCTCACATCCGCCGTCCTCTCGATCTCGGCATCGGTTGCTCTCTTCTGATTGTTTCCATCTAGAGCGTCTGCACATGTCAGCGCACTTCTTACTACCAGAATATCACGACACAGTCGAAACATCAACGCTCCTAGTAACCCCAGATTTACCACCAGGTACGACACCTATCTTAAAGAATCACGTAACTGTTTTGTTCTCCTTTGCCAATGCTCTTCTTGATTTCACCTGCACCTTCCACAACTAACTGGCAAAGCGCACCGCTGCTACTAGATTTACATTCGATTGTGTCCTATGAGCTTCCTTCTCCGGAACATCCGCACTACATCGCCGACAATTGGCACCCGGGCACAACTTTGTCCTGGAGTACCTCCGCCCTACCGCCATTCCACCTTGAAACTGCGTACCTCAGGCGTCCTGAACACTTCCCACGAGAAGAGGTACAGTACACCGCCTAGCCGGATTCTTCAATCATCAAGCAGCACCTTCGGTCCTGTGATAGCCGTCTCGCTTTCGCTTGGTGCTATAGTTTACTACTCCATCGACCGCGAATCTCCATCGCGTTCCCACGCCGCAAGGACAACCGCCGTTTCCGAGTCAAGCAGTCAGTCATTTCCGGGAAATCATCTAAACTCAACCACACCAGAACACGCCTACAGCATGAGCTCAGAATTGCCTCCAGGCCGGTTGGGAAACCTCACACCGGAACAAGAGGAGAAGCTTCGCCAGTTCTGGGTCGCTGTGTTTAAGGTGTGCCAGATTGATTTGTCTAGCTTCGATCCCGGTTCTGCCGCGGAAAGCGCCGATGCGCCTGACGATGAAGATGGTTCGGGGGACACTGTTCTTGAAACCATCAGCTCAGCAGCGGCCAGTGACAGCAAAAAAAAGGACAAGAAAAAAAAACGCAGCCTGTTCAAGCGGTCAAAGAAGGACGGGGGCACAAAGGATGGTGGTTCTAAAGACGGCAATCCGGCAGGTGAGTCTGTCGCTACTGTGACTAAAGCAGTCTCCGCTGTGGACCTTGCTGCAGCAGGCGCGGATGACAAGTACGGCCAGAGCAAACTATTCCAGGAAGCACTGGCCAACCAAACCCCTGAGTCCATCCGTGACACCTTATGGGCAATGGTCAAGCACGACCACCCTGATGCACTCTTTCTTCGCTTCCTCCGAGCCAGAAAATGGGATGTTGACAAGGCCCTTGTCATGCTTGTGTCTACTATGCACTGGCGGGCACGGGACATGCACGTCGACGATGATATCATGCTGAAGGGCGACGGTGGCGCTGCTGAAGAAGTGGCCACTGCCACCGATGAAAAGGCCAAGACCATCAGCGAAGATTTCTTGGCTCAGATGCGCATGGGCAAGAGTTTCCTCCATGGCTCAGACAAACAAGGCCGGCCCATTTGCATCGTACGCGTTCGGTTGCATCACCAAGGCGACCAGGTCGAACAGAGCGTCGAGCGCTGCACGGTTTACATCATTGAGACAGCTCGCCTGTCTCTTCGCCCACCTGTCGATACTGCGGTAAACACGATCCCTTCAGACAAACGTTCCGCCTTCTGTGACTACAACTTGGTATCGTTTACTAATAAATGACTGTTTAACCAGACCATAATCTTTGACATGACAGGGTTCTCGTTAGCCAACATGGTAAGCCGCTTGCTACGGTGGCACTGCGCAGGTTTAACATCCGCTTCTTTGTGTGACGTGTTGCTAATTTTGCATCAGGACTACTCTCCAGTCAAGTTTATGATCAAGTGCTTCGAGGCAAACTATCCAGAGTGCTTGGGTGCCGTCTTGGTACACAAGGCACCTTGGCTTTTCCAGGGTATGCACGTTCTCGATGTTGATTGACTGTGCATCTTTTGCTGCCGTTTACCTACGCACTTCGCTTATAATTGATCACCTTGCTAATATGTATGTAGGCATTTGGAGAATTATTCGCGGGTGGCTTGACCCGGTTGTGGCAAGTAAAGTACATTTTACGAACAATGTCAAGGATATGGAGCAATTTATCAGCAGGGACAAAATCATAAAAGAACTGGATGGCGACGAGGACTGGGAATACACATACCTTGAGCCGGAACCTGGAGAGAACGATAAGATGAATGACACCGCCAATCGGGATAAGCTGATTGTCGAGCGCGAGCGTCTCTCCCGAAAATTCGAAGAGGCCACTGCCCAGTGGATTTTGAGCAATGATAGGGAGCCCGCTAAGGCCGCCCGCGATACGAGGGAAGATATCGCCGAGCAGCTGCGCAAGCACTACTGGAAACTGGACCCTTACGTTCGTGCTCGCTCGCTATATGATCGCACTGGCATACTTCGTGCAGATGGAACTGTCGACTTCTACCCGAAGCCCAAGAAGGACGAGACGGCGCAGACCAACGGTAACACAAACGCACAGGACAACGTGGAGTAGGTTGTGGGCACGAGCACGGGTTACGGATGATGTCCATTTCTACCACAGCGTTATTTCTCCCACAGCGTTCAATCTTGCCCTGTGGCTTTATGGCCTGTAAATTGCGGGTGTATTATTTCTGGATCAGTTTAGAGTTATTATTCTTCCTTCGTCACCTCTGGCTACGCTCGATACATCCTCTCTGTGTAGGTATGACACCAGCCATGCAGCTCTGGTCGTGTCCCTGGAATTTAGACTTAGGATTTCAGCTACCACATCAATTATTTGAATTTTCGTCCAGAAAGAGCTTATTCTGAGCAAAACACTGGAGTCAGAGGGGAAGACCTCTAATTCTGAATGTCGTGCAGTGTTCATGACGGCAAATATAAACGAAACGGTTGGAGATTACCGCTCTCCGCCTGCGCGGTTGATGTATCTCGCACCGAAACGACTGTCAGATGGCATCAGAGCTAGTTTCGATGTGCCTGAACCATGTCCGAAGCTTTGTCGTGATATTGATACCCCAATATCTAGATACGTGACTTGAGGTCTTCGAACAGGGCTTTCAGCTGGTCCATGTCGGTCTTCTGTTGGGGCCAACCAACCCCAAGACCCTCCGTCTGGTTCGGTTTAGGAATCTATCAACTGGTTAGCAAGAATCCTATAAAGGACGAGAAAATTAGTTTGGGCGAATTGGCAAATTACCACGTGGAAATGAACCTGTTTGCTGAGTTAGTCCTAGCCACCCCTTCTCATACCGACGGGTTAAGGTGATAGATAGGCCTTACGTGATCGACTTCTTGGTGAGCAAGACGGCCATTGTTTTGTAGGATATTGTAGTTGTCTGTGCCAATTGCCTTGGCCAGCCTTTTGGCAATAGGCTACCAAGTAGGATTAGTGGTACGCGACTGGAAATAAATGCGAGTCCCTGAGTTGGGCTATGATACCATACCAGTATATCCGTGAGATAGTCGTCGGGGATATCGAGAAGCTTCTCGCCGTGGAACTTAGGGATGACAAGCTGGAATATGGGACGAGGAGCAGATTTCTATTAGCAATTTTATTCTTCCTCGCCCTCAACTGAAAGTAAGATCACCGTCGTCTGGTAGGCTCAACTTACCGCGTGTCCCCGACTCAGCGGGTTGATGTCAAGAAAGGCAAGTGATTTCTCAGTTTCAACAAGCTTGAAGCAGGGAATCTCGCCTGTGAAATAGTGTTAGCATAGAAAAAGGTCTCGGGAATCCGTACGAGTCCGTGCTGCAGCACCATTGTTGCCCTCTGACAAAGAACGCACCCTTGACGATTTTACAGAAGATACAAGCAGCCATGGCAGCAAGTGGCTCACTGGTGACGCTGAGATTTATTACTGTGATGATGTGAGTGTTTCGAGAAGACCGTATGGCCGCATATAATAAAAGCAGTGTAGAAGCCAAGAACTGTACGTCGTACGTTGCCGGGAGAAAGGATGTCGGGAGAAGACAACAGGTGAATTTTGTAAAGGCGCTATGACGGAGCGCTCAAGCTACCCCGCTTGGCCCTGACGTTACATAACACATCGAGCTATCTAGTATTATATGCGGAACGTTCTTACAACGTGCCCGAAAGACAATGACATAAACTCTACGTTTCCTTGCGTAGACTAATTACATTATGACATTATTATTTTCGCGCCGAGAGTTACAAAAATTAAAAATCAATTACAATAACACGAGATTTAGTTATACGCGAAGGAGAAGAAGCGAAAAGAAAGGCGGCGCCTTTTTATATATATATACATGAATTTTTTTTTAAAAAAAAAGCTCCGTTTAAAATTGGTAAAAAGTTGAATCGAATCCAACGGATTCAAGTTGGGTGCCAAAGATTATTGAGTGGAGTCTTATGGGCCGTCCCACGGTCATCTCTGGTAAAAGGCAAGAGGTGAGTTCGCTAGGATAGTCCCACTCCAATTAGAAAATTCCTGTTACCTTTGCTTATATACCACTTTCATGTGGAAACACTTTTCCCAGTTCTACAATGTAAATAGCCAGGCTTCGTCAGTAACCCCGCCATTTACTGGCCATAGATGTATGCGCCCTGATCAATCACTGCACACCAAGGCTGCGCCTCTCTAGCACCTGAAATGGACATGAGCGTAATAGCATTAGCACTGTCATAAGTTGAAGTGGCCCGCCTTTTATTTCACATCCCCTCCCCAAAGACCGATTGTTGTAAACTGCGCGCGGAACCTTTCAGAAACCTCGAGGCATACCTGCAACTGTTACTTTATCTATCCGCTTGCCGGTTTTACAATAGATTGCCATCGCCCACCTCCTCGTCTTACCGCGACATATAGACGTCGAAATCTTGATACCCGACACGCCCACACGATCACCGCCGCAATGACCAAGACCGAGTTCGTGCCTACACCTCTCTTTGGTTCGGCCATCGTCGCTGACCTGCCCGAGAACTTTGCCGATGTCAGGTAAGCCATAGCCTCTGCCGCTCGGCGAGAGAAATTTCTGCTTGGTAGTGTATGGTCTGCCCTTCTTTGATGGTTGACAATCCCTCAGTAAACTGCGCCAGGTCCCCGACAACCAAGAGGTCTATATCGACAAGGATGGCTTTACGAGTATCATCTTCGAAATATGCGAACGCGTGGGCCCCAGCGGCACCACGGCCGAGATCGACGGCAAAGCACTCTCCACACACCTCGAGGAGCTTATTGGCGATGATGCCGACTCGGTACGTGTGTGGAACACCACCGACACGCAGTTCTCCGAACTTCCGTACGTTTTCACACCCCATTCCTTGACCAGAGCTGCGGCACAGAGTCTTGTGCCACTAGCTAACTGTGCTCCACAGCGAGAGCATCCCAGCATACTCCTTGATTGCGACTCAGACGCCTCGCCCTGATCCCAAGGCTGCAGCTAGCAGCGCGCCGGATTTCACGGCGATTATTTTGACGCTCCTCCGTCTCGAAAAGGAATCTACCGACATTCTGATTACGATCAACGTACCGCACATCAAGGGCGAGTACGACGAGGAAGACGTTGACCTACAACTAGGCAAACAAGGTCAGCTTATTGGTGATGCTGTGGAATACGCATCGCGCATATGGGCGACGTTTCAAGTCAAAGACTGGAATCTCTTCAACGAGGTGTGATTTTGACTTGCCTGACGGGGGGAGTAAAAGTAAAATGCGGAGACGAGAGACTTCCAAGAAACCGCGTGCATCTACAGTACGATGGCGATATGACGGGGATATTGGACGTGAAGACTAGAGAGTGGAGGTGCTACCGCACACGGGCGTGGCACCATTGAGTTTGGCTTCTTGACTTGGCATCATTCTGTTCGATATTGGAACATGTATTGCCTTTTTTACTTAATACGCTTTGTAGGGCCGGTACATCTTTCAGCACCTTTAATTTTGTGTCATTCCACGTAGCCATAACCCTGCGATATCAGACAGTAAGCCAAGCCAGCAACGAATATGCTTTCCCGACGTGTTATCCTATGTGCATATGGGATCCAATTTTGATCTATACATATTCACTACCCAGTGACCCTGGATCGCACTTACCCCAGCGTGAGATCAACCAAGGCCCTGCCCAAGTGCTCCACACGTGCCTCAGTTCCATCCGCACCTGCAACATCCGCACCTGCAACTGCTTCATTGTCAGGAGCATCGGTTGTCGGTCGGCTATGAGAAGCTACTCTATGAGCTTTTGCCTTGCTCCACTTGTCTGCAACAAGTGTCATGATGACTTTCTGAGGACTGTTGGGGTTTTCACGCCGGACAATGGCCATATGCTCCTTCATGAACTGTTGATACTCGGACGGGCCTCTGATCAACACGTTTCCACCCGCGCCCACCCTAAACTCGTCTTTCATCCCAATGCGTCGTGGAACAGGCTTCGTTTGTTTCAAGACTCCTTTGCAGGCTCCGCACCGGTGACGTTCCGGATGGATGCTCTTGGAGTGGCGTTTGAACTCCGTAGAGCACTCTTCGCATGTCCAAGCATATTTGAAGTCAATTTCATAAGTATGCTTCGTGGTGATTTGTATGCCACGGTCACCAAAATGTCGCGAGCATTTCTCTGCCCACTGCTTGAATTCTTTGCCATGTGGATTCCCAGTAATCCCACTGATCATGAAGTTAGCCAGGTGACAAAACTCATGTGCGATGACATTATAAAGACGGCGCTCATCGTCGATGACTTTCTCGGCTAGCTCGATGGACGCATGGTGCTTCACGCATGTTGCGATGTCCGTACTGACAACGCTTGTCGTCGAACCATCCTCAATGTCAACAACCGGGGCTACCTTTGGTCGAAGCGTTTCTCTCCGCCAGTTCGCCCGCCCCGCAGTTGTGTTGAGTTTATTGGTCCATTCGATCTGGACACCACCTGTTGAAGCCGCTAGTTGATTCAGTTGGCCGCCCGTGATAATATTATCAAGCTCCGCAAAGAACCTTTCTGCCATGTCATGCTTGTTCTTTTGAAACAATTTTTTTGCATCTTTTCCCACTTTGGTTGCAGTTGCGCCCCTTTTCGAAAAGGGAAGGAAACGCGTAGATGGCCCCGCGTTTCTGGTTCCGTTGTGGGTCTGATTATTCATCTTGGTCTGGTCCGGGTCAAACAGAAGCTTCCGTGGAGAGTGCTCCATATTCCACTCATCAGTGACAGTTTGATTCCAAAAGTCGTCGGTGTTTGGCTGGTGTGGAGTATGTGGTATGCGCGGAAGCTTTTGTGAGGGCGACTGGAGGCGCTCGACTTTAAAATTTTTGGGGTGGCCAAGCGGAGGCGTCTTGGGCCGCTCATCTGTGGTAGGCAGTAATACAGAGCCTGTTGGAAGCTTCCGGGGCGCTGCGTCGGTTTTAAGTGGGTATCTAGACCGTATGTAAGCACGGATGTTTTGTTGAAATACACCCAAACCTAATATAACTCACAAGCTGGTCTTGGACGCCTCAAGATCTGGCCCAACATTCGAAAACGACTCCTCGGCTGAAAAAAAAATGGTGCTTCCATCATCCGTGTAGGTGTCCGCCGTCATTTGGGACTGAGGAGCGGGATACGCTCTTTTTTGATGTTCTTCGGGCATCTGTAGTTTTGTGGTTGCAAGTCGCTTTGTACGTGCAATCGGGAAAAAGTCACCCAGAGAGCCGGAAGATGAATCGCTACTCCAAGATGTGTCCCGGAACTCCGAAGTCTCGCTGTAACTGTCCGTATCCTGCTCGTGGTCGGTCTGCTCAGCCTCTCCTTGGCTATCGTCTTGCTGCCCTTCGCCTAGGCGGCAATGTTGCCCTTTGTGATTGCTATAACCATCGCTGTCTTCATTGACGTTTTGATCACCCGTAGGTTCGTCGCCATGTTCACCGTTGCGATCAGCGTTGATTGCAGCGCCCGCTCGGGCCTTTCCCGCAGCATATTCGCCGAAGTATTCGTCAAGAGAAACGTCTTGCAGTACTGTCGCCCCTTCTGTGGAGAGCTCGCCCTTGTCATCCGCTGATATTTCGGACATCCTTCTTGTTTTTCTTGCCCTTGGCTCAATCCGTGGCTTTGATCGAGATGATCCCGGGGAAGAGCTCTGAGGTAGATTAATCATTTCTAGCTTGGGACCATTCAGTTCTCCTTTGAGAGTGCTGTTGCTCGAGGTTCCCTGTAGGCGAAGGAGGGTGGCGTCATCGTTGATGCGGCCCAACTTTCTCCGCCGTAATGTTGTATTGGGGGCTGACGTAGAAGATTCTATCTCGACCCTATATGGTTTGGTCGTCGTGATAATTCTTTTCGCTTGCCACTTTGCTGGTTGCGCTGTCTGTGAAGGAGCATTTGAAGGAACTGTCGAATTTCGCAATGTTGATCGTAAGGACGGAAAGTCGTCGAGGTCGTCATCACTATCTATGATGACGCGGCGCAGTGCCATGTTGGCGGTGTCACGGCGTTCAAAATTTTAATGCCAACAACAAATAGTTTTAGTGAAAGACGCGTGGTGTGCTATGTGATACTACCAGGGGCAGATTGGACAATTCGATTCTTGCGCGCTGCAGGATGCACATGCTAGAACTAAGCTCCGTCTGAAAGAAACCTGCGAGACGGCCCGTTGGCAAGACAACAGGTCACGTGACCAAAATTCGAATCACAACAATCCATGTCCATTACTTGTCATTGACACACCTCGAGACAGTTGTGTCCTGTATCCTGAAAAGTGCCGTAGGAAAAGAAATAGGGCCCACTGGCTCGAGGAAGTCATCTCACGATTGGCGTTAATAATACTGTGGGCATTGTTGTTATGGAGCATCATTTAAAGGCGTCAACTATTTTTCATTTGATTTTGGTGTCGTGGTACGGTT